CACGTCTCTGAACTCGGGACGGACGGCCCACGGAATGTCACCCTAGGGTCATGACCGGCGTGCTCTATTGCTGCTGACTGCTGCCACTTATTGCGCCGTGCAGCGGCAGGAACGGCTGATGGCAAGGCCAGGCAAGCAGCATCAGCAACAGACAAGCAGCAGCAGTGTGTGTCGCGCCGGCAGAGCCCCTATTCGTCGTCGCTGGTGATCACAAGTCCCAAGTTCCATTCGGGACGGTATCACGGTCGCAAAGATGAGATCCAGGTTCCAGGTCCCCTCCTCTTGTGCCTGGTCCCCGGTCCCTCGACTTCCCCTTCCGGTGTCACTCGCCAATTAACTGCCAGGTTCCCTGCTCTGTTGCGCTTCAGACCTCAGATCAGAGGACTCTCGACCGGATTCCGATGCTCCCTGTCCAATTTCCAGACAAACTCCCCTAACATCCAGAGGGGAAGTCAGGTACGGTACCTGAAAGCTAAGCTGAGGCCGCGGAAAGGTACCTCGCCGCCTGGACGCCGTATCGTCTTGTGTCGTGTTCCCTCCGGGTTGCTGTCTCCTTTGGTGAGGTACCTGAACAAGCGCAGCACTGTAGACGAGCAGAGTAGGGGTGCTTGTGTTTGGAGGGAGGCGCTGCTGCTGGGCACGACGAGAGACGAGGACCGAATTGTTGGTGATACTTATTACCCTCAACCTTACTGCTTTCCCTCTTCCTCTTTTTCCCTTTCTTTTCTCTACCGCCTCTCCCTCGGTCGCCGCCTTGTCGTGTTGTTCACCTCTCTTTGACACCAAGCTCCCTGGATCCGACTGTCGAGTCATTCAGAAGTTGCAGAAACCTGTTGTTTGTCGCCGTCCGCCGTTGCTGTCAACCGCTGAACCCTTATTTCCGACCTCCTCTCACTCAACCTGTCTCTTTTGAAAGGGTTCCTTTCCGGTTTACGGTTTCGTTCTTATCTCGTCCCGTGCCCGAATTGAATTGAGCCCGGCCGACATTGGAGGAATACAAAGCGTCAGCAGCTGTAAAGCCACAAGGACATATTGTGTGGATTTCTTGCCATCGCCGAGATTCATCTCTGAATACTCGAGAATACGCCACCCCTCGATTGCTCCTGCTACCGTCCCTTGAATCCGCCAAACCAACCACTCAAGACTTTGGTCGCTGTTCATTGGTGAAATCCAACAGCCCACGACGCCTCTTTTCCCGCACCGCAACGCAGACCCCGCCGTCAAAAGCGACCAACAGCACCAACAGCAACGACAGCAATAAGCCCACGTCGTCCAACCCCCCAGTCCCTCCACTAAAGAGCCACACGGGGCTGCCCACTTCTGCCCCTCGTTGCTACATTAGGCACTGCCGCAGACCACCGAGCCAACGAACGAACAGCAAGCCAAACGGCTCCCTCTCTCTCTCTCTCTCGGCCACGTCCACCCGACCCCCGATCCCCGACCAGGTGCTAGGTCTTGCTGCAGCCGGCCACAACGTACGAGCCGACAGCTTATTCCTGAGCCCGACATTTCACGTTCTTGACACCTCCTGTCACTCTCAGTCTGTCGTTCTGCCCTTCGTCCTTCTTTGCGTTCTTCTATACCCCTCGTATCGACCGCGACCATGGCTACCAGACCCGCGCTCTTCACCCGTGGCCTCTCGGGCCTGTCCCAGAGCACCACCGACCCCAACTCGCCCAGCGTCAGCTCCCCGGCCGACCAGCGTGACGATGCGAAGCGCAACTTCCTGAAGGCCATGCGCCCGCTGCCGACACAACACTACTGGAACGTCTACTTTGACAAGTAAGCCTTCCCAGATTCCATCCAGCTTGTTTGCTCTCCTGCTGCGCACTCAACCCCGCAACGAACAACACCACCCCCCTGAGCCTCGCCGAGGCACTAGCACCTGACTGACACCATTCTCTCGCAGGCAAAACAAGGACCAGAAGGCAAGCAATGACGAGGAGTACAAGGTGCAGCTGGAGCAGCTCGGCTCCCAGATCGAGTCGGTCCAGGACTTTTGGAAGTACAACAACAACACCCCCGTCGACCAGATCAAGATGCGCGAGTCCATCTACCTCTTCAAGCAGGGCTTCAAGCCCATCTGGGAGGACCGCCGCAACATCAACGGTGGCGCCTGGACCTTCCGCGTCCCCAAGAACATTGGCCCGGACGTCTGGACCCGTGTGCAGCTGCTTGCCATTGGCGAGAAGCTGCAGAGCGTCCTCGATGACAGTGAGTCCCTTTGCCTCTGCTCACATACACGGAGAGATTGCGGGATTGCTAACGGAATGCCTTTCTTTAGACGACCAGATCTGCGGCGTAGGTCTCTCGGTCCGCTTCAACTCCCACCTCATCTCCATCTGGCACCGCGACGGCTCCAAGCAAAAGTCCATCGACGCCATCCTTGAGTGCGTCCTCGAGGAGCTGCCCGCTGAGCTCCGCCCCAAGCCCGACAACTACTTTTACAAGCGTCACCAGGATCACCAGGGCTTCAAGGCGCCCCCCGAGCTCCAGGCCGTCATTGACTCGCAAAAGGCGGCCGCCGAGAAGGAGAAGGCAGCCGCTGCCGCCGCCGACACGACGGCTTAGTATGCCGTTTCCGTCCCTCACTCTGCTCCGTTCTGAACAGAGCGTATGCGGCAGGCGCGGCGTGCCGTGCTACAACGATTCTCTTTTTACTCTGCGTTTTTCTCGATCTATTCTTGCACAAAAGGAAGCCGGCCAGCAAATAGGCTACAGAGAGGACACCATCAACCCATCCAACCTCATCATCTCACACATACGGGAGGGTTTTGTATTTGACTTGGGATAAGACGAGGATGTAATAGTCCATATTTCCAACGTCTGGTCATGACACACATAACGCATGGCAAAACCAAGGGAAAGGCCGGAATATGCATATTTCAAGGGCGTTTTTATGAGCATGGAACCAACCAGGGGGCGGTGGAAGAACACCCCGACCCCCACACCACATGGGCTGCACTGAGTTCAGATAGATTCATTATTATATCCGGTATTCACCTTGGTACAATCTGTTCTGGTTCGTGAAATTTGATGAAATGAAGTCTGTCCTGCCCGCCGTCGTGAACTTCTTGTAGACGGTAAATCCTCATGCCATGCCATGCCATGCTTTGCCAAACGCCAAACACCTCGCGGGGTATAATGAACAACGCTCGAATGCGCACACCACCTCAGCATCACCGCCAGACCCCAGCCCGGCGCATCACCTCCTCAAACTCCTCCCTCTTCACGCCCCTCCCAACCCCCGCGCCGCCGTTGGCCTCGAGAATCATGTCCCTCAACACCTCATCCTTGACGTCCTCCCTCAGCACGCCAGCAACCCTCTTCAGATCCGCCAGCGAGATCACATCCCGCCCTCCGCTCGAGCTCCCCACGCCGGTGAACAGCCGAAATGCCTCCTCGACCTCCCGTCTCCTCTCCTCGCCCCCGGCCCCGTTGGTTTCCCGCTGGTGGTACTTGAGCGCGCAGATGGCGAAGAAGGGCTCGTACCCGACGAACCCATCGCCCTCCGGGTCCAGGATCTCGACGAACTCGGCCTGCTCGGCGCGCGAGGCCGGCGGGATCCCCAGCGCCACGAGCGCCGACCGCACGTCCGACGTCGGGATGACGCCCTCCTTGCCGTAACCGCGCATCGGCTCCGCGAAGAGGGAGAAGGCCTCGCGGATCTCGCGCTCCTCTTGCGCCGAGATGTTGTGCTCCTTGGCTAGCTTCGAGGCGCGCGGGCGCGGCGGGTCGGCGGAGGCGGCTGTTGGCGGTTTGCGCTTTGCGGGCTGGAGGGGGGAGGGTTAGCTATGCGGGTGCAGGAGCGGGCGGGGCGTAGTTTACCATTGTGGATTAATGTTTTATTCGCTCCTGTTTGTTTGGAAATATGCTGTGGTTGTGTCTAGTTGTCGAGGACAGAGGTTCGGTGGGAGGCGTGGGTTGGACGTCGATGACGATGGATGCGCCGGGGCGCTTTGCTCTGCGACGACGCGTTAATTGGTTTTCGGCGCGCACACAGTGTATATGGCACGTGCGGACACCCACCAAGCACCGTATCGCGGCCCCGCCGCAATGGGGATATAAAATTCTGCAACAGCTTGGTTTGATTCCTCGACTTCATCTTTTCACAGCCATCCATTGCACAACGCGATGGATGCGCAACTTCGTCGAGGACGGTAAAACGCCTTGACAGATCATCACGCCTCTACTGGTACGCCTACACTGGCAAGACACGCCTATTCTGGCACAGACAAATCGCCTACTCTGGCAAAAACACAGCAGCATCGCTCTGCAAAGACTTCGCCTACTCTGGCACAAACACTGCCACTGCAAAGCCCACACGCGGCCGCACGCAGTCTACAGCCTCCGCAACGGACGGCACCTCTTTGCAACCCACGCAGACCTCCATCGAGATTTTCTACATCTCAAAACCCCCAAGTGGCCGGAAGACACCTTCTGCGCGCCGCGGGCCTCGACATCCCGATACTCGACGGATGCAAACACCGTTCTCACACGGGAGGCCAAACAGACAAACCTCACGGCGTCTGCCGTTTTTTCCCTCTTATTCTCTCGAACCGCTTCAAAATATGCTAGAGCTTGCCGCTTCCAAAACCCAGAGCGAGCACGTGTGGACAGTGAAGCAAAATTGAACAAACGGGGGCGGTCGCAGGACGAACCGCCTCTTCCCTGGGCTACACCAGTCGCACGATCGATCTCGGTCGGGCGCTTTGGGCCTTCGGGAGACATGCTGATGATGAGAGGTGAAGATGACTGCAGCTGAATTTTGTTCTCTTCCAGAGAGCGAGCCTATGCCGCCATGTGGTCTAGTAGAGATGATTCGTAAACTACTGGTATCACCTCCGCGCCTCCGTATTGAACCCCATATCCCGTCCGCTTGCTTCACATCAAATTTTTGACTCGGGAGGTGGACTTCACGCAAGTCAGCCCCTGCGTTCAAACCCATGCTCAACCAAGATCATGACAGTTGGTGAGGGAAAATGAAGCCTACCACTTACTCACTTGAAGTTGTTCTTCATCTCGCGCAGCTTGGCCATGACGGCGACGGGCTCCTGCTCTCCCGTAACCTTGTGGATCTCGGGGTCCTGATATCTCGTCAGCCTAGAATCATCTTTCGGTACACCACTGTCGTAACTCACATCCACACGCATAAAGACATTGTGCTTCTACATCAAAGTCAGCGGCCCAATCATCCATCTGCCATCTATGATGGGGACATACCTTTTCATCGCCAATGGTGAACTTGCCCTGCGTCTCCTCGTTGTTCTCAGCGAACTTTTGCAGCTTCAGGATGGCCTCGTTCTGCAGCACCGACGCGGCGAACTTGACGTTGGACTTGGTGTACTCGTGGCCGGGCTTGCTCCAACATCAGCTTCATACTCATGCCCCCGATGCGGGACTCGAACTCACAAAGACAACCGTGTCGTCGGGCAACGCGGCCAACGTCTTGTTCAGCGCCTTGTGCATCTCCTCCGGGGTCCCCTCGAAGAACTTGCCGCAGCCTGCGTCGATGGTGTCAGTAGCGTCGGGAAAGATGAAGGGGGGTAGAGAGGCACTCACCGCTGTGGAAGAGCGTGTCGCCCGTGAAGACGACCTTCTGCTCCCCGTCCTGCATGAACCAGCAGATGCTGTCCTGCGTGTGGCACGGCGTGTAGAGCGCCTTGACCGCGATGCTGCCAATCTTGAACGACTCGCCGTCACCGGGTGTTTTCGTCACGGCCTCGCAGTCCTTGCCGCCGATGATGGCCAGGTCGGGCTTCTTCAGCTCCTGACGCTGTTGCGGCGTATCAGCAACATCCTTACTCGTCATCCTCAAAAGACAACTTACCAGCTTCTTGTTGCCACCTGCGTGGTCCCAGTGGCTGCCAGTCGTTAGTCGGCCGTGCCCTCTCCCCCAAAGTCAAAACTCGCTGGTAGACTCACTGGTGCGTGTTGACGATGGCGGTGAGGTTGATCTCGTTGTTCTTCAGAGCCTTCTCCAGCACCGGGGCGACTCTGGCGCACACACTCTAGGTCAGTTCATGGTCATTGAGTGCTTCACCGGGAGGTGTCGCTCACTCGGGCGGATTGGCCGGGTCAATGATGACGGCGTCGTTGGTCTTGTCGTCCTTCACCAGGTAGGCGTAGTTGTTGCTACTACCCTTCCCTAGAAATCCACGATCGCGTCAGAACCGGGACTACATCGTGAGACTTGAACGACGTACACATGGGAATCGACTGGATATGCATGGCGTTGGTGAATGTAAGCTGCACCAGTTGTCAGCAGCGGCCCCTCCTTCAACCGTTTCCCTCAAGACGGATAGATGCCTACAGCTGCTGTTACGGTAGCGAGGTTGTGTCTCAGAAATGGCCTCCTTGCGATGAGGGGATTCATGAAAGGCAACTGCGGTGTTGAGAAGGCGTGTCGTCGGTGCTTCGAGTGGTGGTATTAGCCGCGCTTCAGCGGCAAGTCACGGTGACGTTATTACAAATCTGAGGAGGGGGCCCCTGCAGGAAGTCCCCCCTCCACTCACTCATCGTCATAACCCCCCACGTGATGCAGCAAGACAACTTCACTTTGGCTTCAGCGTTCAACTTCAACATAACCGCTGATGAATCAGGCAGAAAGAGATAAGAATATGGTATCAGGTCGTCTTCAATTATAGGCGGCCTGTATTCAGGCAACGCCGATGGGACGCGGCTTCCAAGGGCCCTCATGCTTGGCCCAACCGATCCCACCGCTCTCGTCGCCCTCATGTTCCGCATTTTCAGCAGTCTTCTCCTCGTCCCTCGCGTCCGACATTAAGACGTCCCTACTCCGTGAAATCTGCGTCCTTATCTCCTCAACCTGCTCCTCCAGGTCAATATCCTCGCGCTCCTCCACCCCTTCTTGTCCTTTGTGCAGAAGCTCCCTCGATAACCTCAGAGCCCCCCGCAAGACTGCATCATCCCTCGGCGCCTCCATGACCTGCGACAGCGCCGTAAGCAGCTGGCTCTCGTCGAGCCTGCCCAACAGCCTCTTCCGCTCAGCCTTCCTCGCCCCCTCCGCCTCTTCCAGGTACGCTGTCACCATCTCACGATACCCACGCGCGGCGGCGTCCCCGACGATGACCTCCTCCTCACCCTCATCCGCGCCCAGGTGCTGCCAGTAGTACTCCCAAATCCACGCCAGAGCCTTCCTCGCTGCGGACCGCAGCTTCGCCAGGGATGGCAGCTGCTCATGCGTGGCCTGGTGACGCAGCTCCACAAACGTTGCCGGCAGACCAATGGTCTTGGCCACGGAGTACATGCTCAGCTTGCGCTGCTTGTCCTGGTGCCCGTCGAGGAGCCCGGTTACGAACCTGCAAGTGTCAGTGAGCAGGTGTGGTATGACGATCAGCGATACTAGCATCGTGAAAGACAATCCCCCCAAGGGGCCGCCGGCCGGAGACGGACGAGCAGTCCGGACGGCTCAGGCGGAACCATAACCGTACACATGGTCAGGGAAGATGCCTTGCAGGTCTTGGTGTTGGTTGATAGACCACACGTCTCCAGCAGGTAAAACAAATGCTGCCGGGCCAGGAACGTCAGTCAGCCGTAGGTCAGAGTCGCACTCGCGACCCAGACAAGCTGAGACAAGAGCGAACACCGAGATGGTTTTGCCAACCATGGAGAAGGTGTGTCTTTGCAAGTCCTCCTTGGCTTCGAAAAGCTAGCCCGTACAAGCGAGCGGGCGCTCGTGTAAGTGTTTGCGAGTGTAATATTCGTCTGCAGATCAGGCGATTTCACCCGGTCGATTCATCAGACGGACCGGCCTGGGTCTGGTCTATGGTCTCTGATCTCTGGGTCTGAGGGGCTGAACCCAAAAGACGGGCAGGGCGTCATGGCAAGAACGTAGTGTGAGGGTGTGTCCCAGACACAAGGAGTGGCGTGAGAGCAGAGGATTTGACAATCCCGCCCTCAGAGGGCAAAATTATGAAATACCCGAAAGCCAAAATAACGCCAACGACGACAGGTGCCCAGATCCCCGGGGAAGGGAGGGGCGTGGAGATGTAAAGGCCAGAGGGGAAGAAAGACGGACAAGCCAAAGGGCAGAACAAACCAACAACGTGTTTCATGGCCCCAAAGAGGGTTGGTTGGGTTGGCTTTGGTTGGGAGGATGGGAGACGGGCGGGAAGCAGCCCAGACGAGAGGGAGCAAACGGCCGAAATAGACTTTGACATGCCCCCCTTCTGTCTCGCTTGCACTGCATAGCATGTACGGAAGGCTTGCTTTGTATTTGCATCGAAGACCAAAAAAAGCAAAAAGACGAAAAAAGAAGACGAAGAAGCCAAAACGTACCGACTAAAGGCGGCCGCGTACGCCGCTCGTACAGCGTAGGTGCCAGCGCTCCCGGAGCTCTCCCCGTCGCTGAGGATGGCGGCCGTCAGCAGCGCCGTCGACTCGACCATGTGTGGGCAGTTCCCGCGCTGCATCCACATGGACACTCTGGCGACGGCGTGGTGCTGGGCCGCCAGTGCTGCTGCTGCTGCTGCCGAATGGTCGTTGGCGCTGGTGCTCGTTGCGGCCGTGGTGTCAGCGGCATGGGTCGACGACGCCGACGGTCTGGGTGGTGCAGCAGCCGTAGCGGGTGCCCGGGTGGTGCTGGCGGCCATTCTGGCTTTGGCGGAGGGCGCTGTAGTGGCAGCAGCAAGTGCTGACGGGGCGGCTGCGGGATAGAATTGCTGGCGAACCTTGAGCAGCTCGCGGCGATCGCGCCATGGCGTCAGGATGTATTGGACCATGCTTCCGATCGTTCGTTCGTTCGTTCGGCGGGCTATTGAGCTGCGCCCAGGTAGCGAGTGCGCGCCCTTGTGTGTGTGTGCTAGACCGCTAGAGTCGCGCGGCGAGAGGCAGCAGCTGTATGTGCGGTAAATGTAGGCAATGTTTCAGAGCCGCGTCCGGAAAGCTCAGATGCAAGTACCTCTGTACCGAACGCCTTCTCCGTAACAGGGCGCCAAACCGATTTGTCTTTTCTCTCCGCTGCAGTCCAATGGGGGGTGCCTGGGGTCGGGGCAAGGGGGCGCGTGCTACGCAGTACTCGTGGAATACTTCGAAGTTGATAGATGGGACGGGGAAAAGGGAAGGGAAGAAAAGTATGGAGACAATTTTCGGCTCTCTAGTGAAATTCCCGGCTACCAGACACAGACACAGCACACGACACACCGCCAGCCGACTACCGCCAGGGACATGTAAAGCGCCACCCTGCCTACCTATGGCAAGTGCAGCGAGACTCTCAACCTCAGGGGCATCTCATTCCACACTGACCGACACATCAGATGAGTTGCACTTTCTCTCTCACCAACCTTGATTCCGTTCGTACCGTGGCGTTGCACCAATGTCTCTGGCCCATATTCGAACGCCCGCTCTGGCGCTGCACAGCTGAGATGAATCTTTTTCATTCCTTCACCACCGCCCCAATGTCCGGTCCACTCCAGAGATGACCGAATGATGCAGGGGTAGCGCAATGTTGGGGCTCACGTACGGGTAAGGGACGAGAGTGCATACACATCGTGGACATCAATGCGTCCTTCTATATCCTTGGAGGTCTAAACTTTTATTTTAATTCTCATCAAGGTGATCGCCAGAATCGACGACACCCGGTAGGTACCCGATCCGGTGCGGCCCAGGTCTGCCACAAGCTATGCCACCTCACGCCACACAAACACCCTCTAAGACAGGGTCTTCTCGATCAGGAAAATTCCGTACTTCTCCTTGAGCTCCTTGATCAAGGGGTCGTTGATCTTGGAGTTCATCGGCGCCAGGACACCCTTCTCCGAGATGGTGCCGTTGAGCACCTGCTGGACAGCAACACCGCAGGGGACACCGACCAACTTGGCCATGGCGGAGTAGCCCTTGGGGTCGCCGTACTCGACGAGGGTAGACGTCCTGGTCTCGCGGGCGCCGCTCTTGTGCTCGATCTCGAACTTGTGCTGGAGCATGACCATGTCGCGCTCGCCCTCCTCGAACTGCATCTTCTTCTCGAGCGTCGCGCAGAGCGTGTCGAGGGGGTTGCCGCGGGGGATGGTCTGCTCGTCAGAGAAGACGCCGATCCAGCGGAGACCGCTGAGGATTCTCTGCTGGTCCTCGGGGGACTCGAAGGTCGCCTTGGAGAGGATGGCGGCCTCGAGGTCGCTCTGGCTCGACGAGGAGGCGCCGACGACGGCCTTGGTGGCCTCCTTCCAGGGAACGGGGCTGGAGAGAGCCTGCTGGGCGGTGTCGTCGAGGAAGCCAATGTCGACGAGGACCTTGATGAACTGAGGGAAGCCCTGGTAACGGAGGGTGCCGCGGATGATGGTCTCCGCCTCGGGGATGTTGTAGCGCTCCTTGTAGGGAGTCGAGTCACGGTTAGGGTACGCGACGAAGGCGTAGCCGGGATAGATGTAGTAGGGCTTGGCGGTGCCCATGAGGTCCTTGGAGGCGACGTCGACGACCTGTCCGTCCTTGTAGTACTTGGCCGCGTTACGCAGAGCAAGCAGGACACCGCGAGAAGACCACGAGAACTTGTAGCCGAGCGGGTTGTCAGAGGCCTCAGGGGCGGGGAGACCACCGCAGTAGGAGAGGAAGGAAACGATCTTGCCTCCCTCGGCGTGAACCTCCTCGATGGTCTTGACAGCGTACAAGTGGTCGATACTGGAGCACACGTCAACATCTCTGCTCATAATTCGTGGTTGTGTGTCTGCCACACTTACCCAGGGTCAAGACCGATCTCGTTCATGACGGTGATACCGGCCTCCTTGGCCTGCTGGTCAAGCTCCATCATGGCGGGGGAGACATAGCTGGTGGTGACGACGTGCTTCTTCTGGCGGATGGCCGACTTGATGACGGTCGCGTGGAAGGTGTAGGGGATCAAGCTGATGACCAGGTCGTGCTTGGCGACCTCGGCGTCGAGAGCGGCATCGTTGGTGACATCGAGCGAGATGGGTGTGGCGTGCTTAACACCGGCGGACAGCTTCTGGGCCGACTCGAGAGTTCTGCAAGCTGCATTGGTTCGGGACGGGTTAGTTTCGCTACACCAAACACACAGCAAATGATGGCGCGCAATGTCTGATGTCAGACGCGCACGAAGACGGAGGGCTCTTGCTCACCAACAGTGACGGGAATGCCAGCCTCGCTGAGGATGTCCAGGGTCGGCCGGGTCACGAAGCCCGCACCGAGCATCAAAACGCTCCTACGCCCATGGCAAAAGTAATTAGCGCGGGGTTCGTCCTCTCACACACATACACAACAGACGGGTGGTGCACAGCGGGTGAGTCGTACTGGGATGCCATCTTGAGAAATCGAGTTGTGTTGTTTCTGACTGTATCGTGTGCGATGCAATTCAGTGATGTGTGAGTCGAGGCTTCAGCTTCCACGAAAGAGGGGAAAGGTCTCGTAGCCAAACAGGACCAGGTAGTTTGGCAGCAATTGCAAAAAAAAAAAAATCGGATCGCTACCCGGTATCTTTGCTGTCGTGATTCGTGACTCGCCCGCGACGAAAATTTCCACAGCATCAATGGTGGGGTAGAGTTGCCAAGTCGAGCCGATAACGGCCTCTTCCCCCTCCTTCCCCCTCCTCCCCTCTCCAACACTGTGCAGTGTTTTCTCACTCACTCAGCTGGCACTGTCGGGTTCGGCTTCCAGTAGTGCCAGCTGTGTGTGGCTCACTGCACATCCGTCACCCTCTGGAGTCTGAGGTGCGGCACACAGTGAGACACAGTGGGAGTAGACGCTGAGGGGGAGGAGGCTGGGGGCCGTTGAGGTCACCGCACCAGAATTTTCTCAGGGGACACGGCGGGGTGTTTCGCGACCTGGCAGGGCTGGCCAGAACGGCGGGGGTGGGGTTCCACAGTGTACAGGATTGGCCGGCCGCTGGAATGTGACAGGGGAGCATGGACCCACACTGCAGCTCATGCCATGCTCGACAGGGATACTGTTCGGGAGGCTCTTTCTCGCTTATTTTTAGCGTCCGCGTTGACGATTCAACTTCGATTCGGCGCCTCCTCCGTGCTGTTGGTGCTGGCTGTGTACACTGGTAGTCGAAATCTCCCGCATCTTGCACGCATCAAGTCACGATAGGTGCAAAAAGTGGACAGGTTGAGTGTTGAGTCTTTTGCGCATAGCGCGGTGTTTTTCTTGTATTTTGGGTTAGGTCATCTATCTTCGCAGCTAAGCTGCACATCGTTTGACGACACGGGGACCACTTGTCTGGCCCCTGCGTCCCTTTCATTGTGTATCCCTGGGGTATTGTTTTGGCCTTCCCTTTTTTTCTTCCCCAGCCTCCGCCTTCCAAAATCATCAGCCTTAATAGATGTTTTTCAATCCTAAGGCCCAACTCCCCTCTGTGATGATACATCTCTTGGTGGTTGTAATCATACATAGTATACAAAGTGTCGTCATTAAATCATAATCGCTTGCGCTGATAGTGTACCGTGAAATTCCTTGGGTTTTTTTTTTTTTCGTTGTGTCGTCATATTAATCCTGTTCCTCGCCGTCGGCATCTTCCTGATCCTCGTCGTCGCTCTCCTCAGGGGGCTGCCACGACTCCTCGAGCTTCAAGCCCTTGCCGGTACCTTCGCGAGGACGGTACGGAGCACCCAGGAGGGAGGACATGGCGGAGCGAGAAGCGTCGAGCTGAGGGTCGTGGTCGTACTTGTCAGGCGCGTCGTAGAGGCCCATGCCCACGAGAATCTCACCCTCCTCCTCAGGCTCGTCCAGAGGCTGGTAGGGGATGGTGTCCTCGTTGGGAACGATGGGCTGCGGCTGCTGAGCCTGGGGAAGGGTCTCTGGAGTCGGCGGCGACGTGCTGGTGAAGCCGTCCATGGGGTACGAGTTCCAGGAAGTCGAGGTGGTGGAAGGTGTCAAGTCGGGGAGAGTGGAGGGAAGCGCCGGGAAGGGCTCGGCATATCCAGCAGCCTCAGTTGAGGAGACATAAGCTGGAGGGGCCTGCTGGGGAACATTCCAACCCTCTACGGGGAGATAGGAAGATCCATCGTAGGCGCCAAAGGGGAGAGAAAGTGGTGAGAAGGCGGCGGCAGGAGAAGTGCTGCAAGAGTAGGCAGCAGGTGTAGGCGGGAACTGCTGGTACGCAGTGTAGCTATCGGTCTCATGATATGCCGATGTGGTGGCAGGGAACGGGTAGTGGGCCACGGACTGCTGAACCGGCAACTTGTGCTGTTGTTGCTGGAAGGTGGATGGTTGCCAGCTGAGGGGACGACTGGGTCGAGTTTGAGAGCTGTACTCGGGCATCGGGACGTGGTCCATAACCTGCTGCCTCCTCCTCGCCAGATTTCCGTCGTTCATCATAGTCCTCCTCCTCGCCTGCATAGATGACGATGACCTCGGGCTGTTGTTTGCGCTTGTGGGCTTGACGACGCGCATGGCTGACCCAGTTCGTTGTCCGTTGGAACCTCTTGATAGCCTCCTTGACGCCTGTGATAGAGCCATCTGTCTCGACAAGTCGTCGAGGAAGGTGTCTTGGTGGTAGGACATGGGGACGACGCCCGGGAGAGCACCTCCCATGAGTGTGGGCATCATGATGGTGAATGTGATGTCGGTGACCGTTGTTGAGTGTGGTGTAGTGTGGTGTGAAAAGTAGAAAATGGTTGTAGTTGGAGACTCTGATGAGAAAAGCAGTTCAAAGTGAAAGAGATGCGGCGGTGGTTGGTGATATAGATGACATAGAATGGACGGACCCAAGGGCTAGCCTATGTAAGTACGGAGAAAGAGGCCTTGCTCTGCAAGAGTTCCAAGGGAGTAGCGAGAATACATGGGTGATACTAGATTGGTCTTGAAGAAGGATAAAATCAAACCTTAGCCCCAGCGGAGCAACGACCACACTAGACTACCACTACGGATACGCAGCAGGCACCATGGGTATGGAGTTATGGAGTGGGCCAAGAAAGACAACACCTAGTGTGAAGACCTTGAACGGTTTGGCATGTGTGTACGAAGAGGCAGCGAGTTGCGGGTTGCGTGCATGGGGATGGGATGTTGATGGGAGGTATCCGCGCAGCCGTGCAGTGCAGGTGTCCCAAGCGGCGTGGCTGGACAGGGGCGGTACGTACCGTTTCCGTCCCTTTTTGGGCGGGTGTCTGGGTGTCGAAGGGGCGGCCAGCGAGAAAGCGGGCTGCGTCATATGGATTGGGCAGGGATCTCACAACGGAGGGTAAGTGGATTTCGGAGTCCAAGGAGACGAGGCGGCTGCTTCCCTTTGGGCTGTCTCTGCACCGCAGTAGATACGGCCGGGGTGGGCAGGGCAGGACAGGGCAGGACGGACACACAGGCAGGTGGAGGCAGGATGGGAAAGCATGGGAGGCATGGGGCGGACTTGTCGATAGCGCTGGTGGGTGTGAGTGTGTGGGGTTCTCTGGTGAGTGAGAGCGTGTGGTGCCGCAGTGGGTGTGGACGCTTGACTGCTTTGCCTTGGTGGTTCTGGCACAGAGTGGTGGTGGTGGAGGGCGAGGAGATGGGTGATGGACCAGGGAGGGCGAGGTACACTACGGAGTACGAGCGAGCGCGGGGCGGTCACTGGACACTGGACTGGTCAGGGCAGTGGGTGGAAAGGATGGATCACTGGCGGATGGATGAATGAGGGAATGGGTTGTGGAGCCGGCCAGGTGGTGGTGCCAATTCTACGCCATGTCCTAGGAGTGCGTATGTGTGTGTGTGTGTGTGTGTGTGTGTCTCCCATGAACGGGTAGCGAGTAGCGTCGGGTGCCGCATGTACCGTTTCGAGGTACCTCACCGGCCCCAGGACGTCGTGCCATGGCGGCACACAAGGCTCAAGTCGAGATGGGAGGAGGGGCAGGCCTGCCTGGTACGACTGGACGGCCGAATATAATGAAGAAAAAAGGAAAAAACACAAGAAAAAAAAAAAAAAAGCTGCTAGGTTGAAGCGGAGGGCTGTCCAGTACGTACCCTTCCCGTACCTTGCCATCCTGGCTGGCGGGTGGGCAGCACAGGGGCAGCGGGCGGTCAAGGAGGTAAGGAAAGAAAAAAGAACATGGATGGAACGTCTTTGGCCCAAAGAACCACTTGGCCCAGGCGCTCACGCCGCCAGCTTGGAGTCTGGAGATGGCCACCCCTGCTTGCGTCTCGTGCAACAACGCAGCAGAGCGCCGCATACAGGCCAGGGGCAGCAGGTTAGAAGGGGTCCAAGGGAAACCGCCTCTCTGCTTTGCTGACCCAGAGGGTGTCGTTACCGCATTGAGTCGGCGAGGCCCCGTCTGCAATCAGCCAGCCGCGTCCAATCACCCATCGTCAACAACCCCCTGCAAGCTTAGTTTGAACTGATGGGTTACATCAGAAGGGGCGTAGTGCTATGAAGCCGCTGGGGATCTAAGGAACCCCAGCAAAGACATCCGCTCTTGGGACCATGGATCCATGGCCGTCATCCCTCCATGCCTGTCGCCGTCCCCCTCGAGCCTCCTCCTCCTTCCCCCCCCCTAAACACTAGCAGATGGGATGTGCATCTCGCCTTGCATGTTTTGGTGGTTTCCTCCAAAGTGCCACCCACCCAATGGCCTTGCCTGTTGATGGCCTTCCATCCTGTTACTGACCGATCGTCTGCCTGTCTGACTGATGCGAAGAGGAGTCGCCAATTTGTTCGTGGATGGATGCACATCCCGAATCCAGCACTAGCAACCTGCATGGTTGGCGAGACGAGGCAACGTCCATTTCCACCCCTTCCACATCCACCTGAAAGCCTTACTGACACCGCGCAATCTAACATTAGAAAAGCCCGCAACTGTATCAGACAGCGGTTAAGCCGGTTGCCTTCGCTCGCCCTTGTCCAGCGGCTCTCCTACCGCTCATCTCGGGGAACCCATAGAGAGATCAGGTGCCACCGTCCAAAAGGCGGAAAACAAGATGTGTGAAAAAGCACAGACTCTGGATAACCCAAGATCTCCATCGGGGTCTTGGTCTCAGGGCCGCAGAGGTGAAAGAAGTTAGAACTATGAGAGAAGCACGGAGACGGTCCCGCTTAGGGAAGTCCCCTGGCGCAACAGTACGTACCGTACCAACTGCGAGCATTGTCGGCCTCTTCGTGACCTATACTAACCTACGGCTTGTTAGCCAGCAACTTCGAGACGATATATCACCATGCGTGCTTCCTCTAATGATCGGTACATTGACGCAAGCCGGCGACCACCAGGCTCGTCAAGACGTTGCTTTGAGGGGAGGTCAGAAATGCTCCAACCCGGAAGAGACGAATACTTGGTACATCCAATAAATGGATCATGGCACAGTTGCGGCCCCTCTGTCGGCCACGAAAGATGGTGTCCAAACGGGTAGAAGTTTAGCGTGCCGCGCATCGTCTTTCGCGACCGGCAGCACAGCTGTCTAGGTGCACCATGCCTTGGGCGTCCGGTCACTTTGTTGGTCATACGAAGTGGTTGATGTCGCTGAGCGGCGGCCCAAGGTACGAAACGGAACGTTAATTGTTTGCAGTCATCCTAGCGCAAGAGCGAAGCCAAAATGGGCGTGTGCCAAGGGGGCGTGAGGCCATCGAATGACAAGCCGCTCTCCAGGCGCATGGGAGGTGGAACGGACGAGGGCGGATCACAGATCTCATTCAGGAGACGGCTGTTGGCTTGAAGCTTCCACACACCCCTGACCCAGAGTGAGGTCGATTTGCGGAGACAGAGACGAGAAGGTTGCGATTGTGTGCACACGCGCAGTAGGTTCGTGTGGAAGTGTGTGAGGATGGCATGGCGTGGGTCGTGTGGATAGCATGCCGTTTCTTTCCCCTGGCCTCCAGCGTACCACAGTCAATGTATTGTGAGGGCGGGCGTCAATGGTGGTATGAGTCTGTGAGTGGTTGGACCAAAGCCAAGGGCCGATTGGTGAGTTGCCGCAAGCTATGGCCACTTGGTGACGAGAACACAAGTGTGAGATGCCACTGGGTCGATGATTTCGCCGTAGCAATTCGGCTTGGTCGGTGAGTTGACATCCAACCTGTGGTTGTGTTGGCTCAGCTGCGCTTTGCCATGGGTTGCACCCGTTTTAACCACGGGTAGTGCAAGCTGATACTGGGTAGATTCAGTGGATGGATCAACCGGAGGCGGTGGACGCGCATGTTCCGGACCGGAATGCAGGTAGTTTGCAAGATGATGATGGTTTGAGAGCATGAGCATCAGCAGCTGCCTTGGCGATCTCCTCAGTCACCGTCCCATGAGGGCCACGGCTGGCCGAAATCATGTCAAAGGGCCGAAGCTGCAAGCATGTCTTGAGTCGTGACATTAGGTGGGCATCGTCCTTGTTGGACTAAAGTGCGCAGCCAGATACCTTGGGTGGTGTCCACGCGGGTTGTTCGGGGTATCATGTATCGTAGGTATCGGCTGTTGCTGATGCATCGGAGCGAAGCCTCTTTATTTTCCCCTTTCTTGTTTCCCCCACAATGTGTTGCATCCTTTCATCGATCCATGCCCAAGGGGGGCAGACAGGCGAGGCGAGGAGTTGGACGGTGACCGCGTCAGGCGGAGGTCACAGCAACTGCATGTCGGCATGCCTGGGCCAGGGAATCAGGGTGTTGGGGGCGTCGTGTTCCTCGAAATGGGATGAAATGGGACGGGCAAATTGCAGCATATTGGAATGTGGGATTGCGAAACCTCCGAGATGGGTCATGGACGGCTGTGACTGATGTTCACGAGAATAGCCGCAGCTGGGCTAGATGGGCCGAGTGACATGAAGGCGAGAGAGTCAGTCACAGTCACAGTTTGCTAGGTCTGCTAAGGTACCTAGGGGAGACAAGTCAAAGTGTGGGTGACGAGGTGGTTGGGCGACCCGACACCTCAAAGTGTGCAGGTGCAGGGTCAGAGAGAGGGAGGGCAAAAAGTAGCCCGTGGCAACCATGTACATAAGATCAGGTGTATGGCGTGGGGCGGATCAAGTATTTGCAAGGCGCGAGGTACATGTGTCGGCGGCACTCTCTCTCTTTCCCTTTCGCCCCCCTTTTCCACCCGTTCTGAGCAGGAGTCAGCCGTTACCTCGAGTTTTGGCAACACAGTGACTCTGCCATGCTGGGTTCCAACGCTTCAGTGTCCATCCATTCCCACGTTTGAGCCATAAAAATCTGACAGCACGTCAAGGACCCATACCGAAGGGCAGAAGGACGACGAGGCTTGTAGACGTCGGGGGCCATAACTTGTAAGGGAAAGGGAAACCTCCACTAACTGGTGTGTAGCCAGTACATAGACTAGGGTAGGATGTTGGTGGATTCGTGAAGTACTGGCTACCTTGTCAACCACGCTTCGATATTGGCAAGTCGCCCCATGATCAAGATTCAACATCCTAGCCCCGGGAATATGCAATTTTGCCAGTAGCACCCGCAACAACAACCGCAACGCCAAGGCCAGGCAGGGCGGCACGACGGCAAGGGCGAAAAGCGAGGAACGAAAGGCGACGAGGCATGGGCCAGTGTTCCTTGGGTTCTGACAAAGCAAAGACCAGGCCAGAAACACATTGGACCAGGCTCGAGCCCCCAAGACACCACACAAGGTTGAAGGCTCAGCGCCGACCCTGTCGAGGTCTGTCCCTGTGGTGGACATTAACATGACCAAGCTTACTGCAAATTGTTTAGCGCGCCCAAGATAGTACCGCACTCAGGTACCTTCTGCGTGTCTGTCTACCTAGTGTCACGGACGGCACCTTACCGCGCTGGACGGACATTGCCCATCCCCATCCAAGTAAAAGAAAGAAATAACCATGACGGTTTGACGGCCCCCACCCAAGATTCAAGTCGAGCACTGGGCTACCTGGGAGTGGAGGGCTTATTATTGTACGCAGTACGAGAGCATATGGATTGTTGACAACGTATCGTCGTAGCAAAGCAGACCAACGCTAGCCGTAATCGACGTTCGATGGCAAGCCACTTGAATTGCTGGTGGAGGAAGACGAGGGCGACAGGCCGGAGGAGTGATATTTCACAGCGCTTCACAGGAGGGATCTGCGTCCGCCGTCTGCGACACCTTCCATGTTGATGCGTCTTGGAGGCCTACCTCAATTTGGATTGATTTCAACGCGCCGTGAGTCGAGGATGACCGAGACGCAGCACAGGCCGTGCAGTGACTCTGAGTGTGAATCCTTGACTTCCACTGAATCTGGAGCTGGAGGTAACTTAGCCGCTAGGCTCCACTCCATCTTAGGTGACGGATTGCAGGGCAGTCGGTGGTGGCGGCGGCGGCGGACGAGCAGGCAGGAAGGAGAAGAAGGCGGAGGCGGAGGAGAGGAAGAGAAAAGCAACCAACCTGGAACATCAGGCAGAGACTTCCTGGTCGCAGTCGCAGTCAACCCCGGTGATCTCAGACAGACATGGCAGACAGCAGGCAAGGGCATGGGTACCTCAGGCACTCATGTTCCCTGGCGTCGTCAGGTCACACATCAGGCAAGTCGTCCAGTTGCTAACTTGCAAAGCACCAACCGGTAACCACGACCAGTGCAGTGCGGTGCCTCCTTCCAATGGAGACTTGAGAAAAAGGTGCGGTACTTAGCCTTCTTGTCTCACTACTCGTATCTCTGGCTGCGGGATACTTCAAATTGGGGTACCTATCTACCTTCCTGAGGTAGCCCTGCTCCACGTTCATTTTGTCTTGACACCACACACCGCCTACACTACCTTCCGTCCTACACAAACCGTGCCGCGGCCTGGCCCTGTCCGCCCGCCCGTCCATCCCAAGAGGAACTCAGGTCCCGTCGTCCACACCTAACTTTCACCTTACCCGACCTCAGCTTAGTGCAAGACTCCGCACCACGACGCCGCCTCGGGCAGAGTGCTCCTCGCCAAACGCATTTCCAGCAAGACGGGTATCCATGCGATGCCATGGGTGGGGACACCGGTCGATCGAGGCGAGCCCGCGATTGGAGCGAATGGGCCTGACAGTGGCACACCTCTCACGATCCGCACCTCGCAGCCCGCGCCGAGCAAAGTCGCAGCAATGGCATAGCTCTCGGTCTTTTGTTCCCTTCAGTCTCGAAGCAGCACCACTTTCCACCACCGGACACCCATCACCCCCTCGCCCTCGCCCTCGCCCTCCAGCAGCGTGAGTCCGGCTACAGCGCTTCCATCAGCCCCTGTTCCCCTACTCCGCCCACTATTCTTCCCCTCAATACAGTCCGTCCAGCACACCCGACCACACCCAAGTCTAGGCCGGCAGGGTGTGGTGTGCCCTCGGTCTTCCATTCCTTTTGCTTCTATTTTCCTCTCCCCTGAGCCCCTGGCTTAGCAGGTACCTACGAATAGGTCGCTGGGCAGGTGGTGTGGAACGCACCGCAAAGTACCTTTCACCTCGTCACCACAACAATGCATCACAGATGCTGACCAGTCGTCGGCTTCAGACTCCAGGACATGTCATTTGGGATTCGACCCGCGGCACTTGTGACAATGCCCGTCTTCTCCGCCCGTGCTCCCTGCGAGAATTTCGCCATGGGGCAATGACACCGCTGGAAACTGGGCCAGCCGCGATCTGCCAGAGCCTTCATTCCCCTCGACCCCCCCCCCCCCCCCCCCGGAACCCTTCCTTTCACAGGCTCTCGCATACGCCTCGAGCGAGACGTTCTCAGACTTCCTGCCCTGTCCAGCTGGCTCAATCTTACCCGCCGGCCTTGGGGTGTCTGTCCTGCGGTTCTGATCCAAAACCGTCCAACCCCCCTCCTGTGCAGGTATGTTAATACCCTACGGCAAACGTACCTGCGGCATCCATTCCAACGTCCATACGCGACCCGAGATAGAACCCTGAGCACGGGACTTAGCAATGTGGAAGATATTGACTGGGCCCCTGAAGCTAGGAGGTCACCAAGCGAAGATTGATCCCATTCCAGCGGCAAGCTCACGATATGCCTTGCTTCCGCGCGGCATTCGTCAACAAGAAGTAATTCCACGCGAAAGAGGTCAGGCCAACGCAAAAGACGAGCTGTTGTTTGCATGACGTGGATATAGCCAGACGTGAAGTGAAGGGGGAAAATTCTCAAAGAGACCAAAGTCAACAGCTTCCTGGTACTCGTACTATGATTGGTAACTGGTACGGGTTGGCGAGGGGCATGGCAAACTCTCCACACCGGCACAGCAGCTTGTCGCTGCAGGCTGTGTCAGAGATGCTGTCCTGTCGGTCAGTGGATTGCTACGGCTACGACACAACGTCGTACAGCCCACGGAGTTGCCTGGCTCGCTACTCGCTACCCTGTGCTTGTCGAGTGTGGACACTGCTGGAATTCATAAGTTGAACAGCGAAAGCCACTTTCAGGATCAGCACCGCAGCAAGCCCCCTGTTCCTGCCAGCTTCCAGAAGCTCAAGACGGGCCAGGTGATCCATAACATCCCATCCCGTATCCGCACAAGCAGGTGGAACATGGTCAAAGAGACCTCCCCGGCGACTTGGAGGTCTGCGGCATCCGTATCGATAAAGGGATTGGCTGGTTACGATCTTGGCAAACACATCCATTACACGTCACTACTCGCTCTACCCATCGCCGGGCTTGACATAAGCACCTGTGCCTTGCATTTACTGAGCGGCCGCTGGGAAGCGGATGAATCAAGATACCATCCCACCATGTAAGTGAAGTATCTTGACGAGGCAGCTTATCGAGCCATGGTTCAAGAATCGTCGAGTCGCGTCCGACGCCGTCGCCGGCGCCTCAGCTTATCGTCTCCCATCTTCATGTCCATCCAGACCCAAAATACAACACCATCATAGCGCCTGCAAGTCTCCGGGCGGTACGGTACTGCGATGTGTCTTGGCCGTCTCCTCTGACGCCGGGTCCACATCGTCTCCGTTTCCACCTACCGTGTTCACACCTAGTCGGGTGTTGGAGTGCGAGGCGTCTTCGTCTTGCCTTTCCGGGTAGGCCTTATCCACGTCTCGCGTTGGGTGCCCACCGCCCACTCAATGCGCCAGGACCTTCCCACCTATATGCGTAAGTTTGTGGCCTTTCCACAAAGCTGGGCGGCCTGGACTGTTCCATTTAGTCACTCGGCTGCTTGTTTACTGGCGTCGACAAGCCGGCCTTCGTCACTGAACCCTCCAGCCATGCGTGCTTTACCGAGAGCATAGATTCGCATTTCTTGCCATGCGCCTCTTACTATGGAGTCGACGGTCGTACGAACATGAATCAGCTCGCCTCTCTGACATTACTGCACAACACGATTTGGCGGTCGGTTTTCCGCGGTTGGACTTGGGCATCCGGAATGTTATCAGCCTGGTTGTGTTTTATGCTCAACCCGGACACTGCACCAGCGTGCCTCCATCGGTCAGCTTTCGCCTACGACTCTATAGCGAGTTTCTTCGGTGTCATGCGACGTACGAAGTACCTCAGTAGCTATGGAAGCTCGCGCGCAGGTAGGCTGCGTCCGCACCTGCACCTGCACCTACATGCACCTGCACTTAGACCTGCACCTCCACGCCGCAGTTGCGCCTGCATTTGCATTTGCATCCACCTGCCCGCAAACTTTTGCAGATGCTACAAATCGCCGGCCCCGTCACTCGAGTTCGCCTCATTGGCTACGCAGGTAGGCACAGCGGTACGATTCTGTGCTCCCGTGCCAACAACCTGAAAGAGACGCACGTGACATTGGATGTCTCCTTCTTCCCCGTTTCATCCCAATGCCCAAGCCAAGTTTCCTTGAACCAAATCTGGTGCGTCACGCATCCCCGTCCCTTCCAAGGTTCAGGTGCGACGACTCGTCCTTCTTCCATCCGACAGATTTCGTACAACTGTCTCATGCAGCAGCGGGAGACGCTGACATCTGTGCCCCAAGGTTTGCCGCCATCTGCATCCTCCATCTCCGGCGTTGTGCTGTTGGCTGCCTCGTCTCTTCGCACCCCTCGCGTTTTCGTCCCAATGCAACTGAACTGAGAGAACCACGCACCACATCATTTACCATCAAACACACGACTACATCCGTGTACCCAGCCGACGCCGTTCGTGTAGTTGGACAAATTCGGTCTATTCCACTGGCTATCGATACTGCGTACACGACTCTCGGCCAAAGTTGGTTTCAACCCGTCTTTCTCCGGATTATTTGCGCAGTATTCTGTGCAACGTCGCAGCCCATCTCGCTCGCCTCTCCGGTCTTTCCATCTCAACTTTGCGGGATCGACCCTTGGCCATACTCGCATGCTCCGACCTTCGTCGTCATCACTTACAGATCCTTCCGATGAGAACTTGACCTCGGTCAGTCACCGCCCACAATGGTCCAACATTAAGTCGCGCCATGCATCCAGCTCTGACAACATCTGGTGATCGGTGGGCGTCTCGTTCAAGTCGGCTCAAACCCATCCGCACCGTAAACTCCACCCATTCTGCTGGCATTTCCGGTATTCCAAAGGCCCGGCCTGACGCTTCCTTCTGCGAGTTGCCAAGCGCTCCACGATACCCCGAGCTTCACCTCTATAGTCGGAGACGCCCACATAAAACCTTCTTGGGATCGGGGTTAACCCTCATCCTTTTTCTACCGATGACCGAACAAAACAGTCGGTACAAATTTTGGACGTGCTATGCTTCCACCGATGAACTAGTGCTCGGGCAGCTTGCCACCATCAGCATCTCTTGGGCAGGAAACGACAGGATACTACAGGTCTCACGCCGACTAAAAAACAATGCTGATGTGTCCTGTTGATTTGACCGCTACACAGCAAGACCAAGCCTCCTGTGCTTTCAAGCCCGCTACAGCATCTTGTAGCAATCATTTCTCTTCACGGCACGTTGCCGCTTGAATCGGTTGGGCAGTAGTACCCTCCCAGTCAAATACCCGTCATCAAAAAGCTCCAAAATATGATGTACGGCTTATTGGCTTGCTGATCCAGTCACCCCGGGACCAGCCAGTACGCAAGGGCTTGACTCAACCGTGTGCTGCTCACAACCTTGCACCACCGAACAATGCGGGCGGAGGCGGGTGACCACTGATGCCTCACCATCCTGCCACTAACCTCTGGTACTTTGCAGCACCAAGTAATTTAGGGTGCACTGAAGCCTGGAAGTTGGGGCTGGAAGGTGGTCTCCGCCCGCTATCTAGGACCCCGGAGAGCTTGACGGTTGCAGCCCTGCGCGTCGGCCTTCTCTGAAGACGAAGCTACTTCGCACCTTAGCCAAGACCTCGACTCATTAATTGTCCCCAAGCCTCAATGAAACCCGGCCTCCGGAAGGCGTGGGCTGTCACCCCTGGTCGGAACCTACGGCTATTACCCGTGGGTAAATAACGAATGGCACTGATGCTCCCATTTTCTAAGACACCAACCGGCAGCTAGGTACTGAGCATGTTGCCTTGCGTGGCATCTAATCCTGTTCGGTCACCCCTTTGGATGGCTCATGGGTTGTCAGGGCGCCTGAGGATCTGGTGTGCTAGCATTGACGGTGCTGGCCGACGCTCCAACAGGATGCGCTTGCCACAATGAAGCCCCAAGATGCCAAAACCGGCGAACGACGGTAGATCACTCTCCTCGATTTCCGGCGAATGCTTGATCCAGGCGGCTAGTCTGAGAAATAACTGCGCTGGGCTTCGCAGATGGCTGTCAGACTGAACAAAGTATCTGGCTACATTGCATTCGATGTACGCCCCGATAGCGAACCTGAGAGAAAAGCAGTTCCAGTCAGCTCCAGCCACGCCACATAGACGCGTGGCTGTTGTTGAAAACCATCAGTCCCTTTCCCACGATGGCCACGCATCGGGCCCAAACAGAATCAATCGCGTTTTCGGGCGGCTCGGTGCCAATCGGCCATGATTCGTCCCTTGTTCAATGCAAACGACGTGTCGGCCATGGGTAAGGGACCCTTTGCCAGGGAAGCGAACCCCGTTGATCCTGTCCCCTGTCAACGGGAGCATGTCCAACCGTACTTACACTCGCAATCCATGGAGGGAGGGCGTGGATGAATTGTAAGATCCAAGCCAAAAAGAAAGTAATTGTTGTTTTCGAGGGACTGATCAGCTCACAAGTTTCCTCTTCGAAGTGCGGTCTCCGTGCACAGGGGACAAACACCGACGCTCCATACTCAGTAGGAAGCTGCATGTCCAGCACTGACACATCATACTGGATGCTCGACTAGCGGATTTCACCCGAGACATGCACTCTACATATTATCCACTGTTCACATTCTGCGCTCACTTTGCGAATATCTCGCCCGCGGGATTTTTCAGCAACCGAGACTTGTGATGCCCGGCTGGATCGCGACTGTCTGGTCCTACTGCCGTCCAATGGCATACTCCAAACATGAGCATGGCGAGTGTCTATCAGATCCGGCAATGAACCTAGCTCAAACATTCGGAAGCAGTACGAATATCAGCAGCATGTCACTTGCGGAACAAGCAGCATATCACATCGCTGACGTCTTCAACGCCAGCGGGCAAGGTCTCGCTGAGGTACTTTCAAACCGCCAACATGCTCAGCTTCCTCGAGCTAAATAAAGTCGCGCTCGGCCGTTTGTGATTTAGGGGTACGATGGATGGTTGCTTACCATGCCTGGGATTCCCTGAGGAACATTGCTGGGCTGGGCAACGTCAGGGCATCGGTGAAACCGGGGCCTACCGACAAGAACACTTCAATGCGCGCGCATGCTGTCATGGGCCGGCTAGCCAGGCTCAAAAAAAGCTCCAGGATCTTAACAGACGGAGTCTAGCGAATAAAGCTAGTAGGCAGTCCGTCCTGCGGTCTGCAAGAGATGAAAATGAAACATGACAGGGATTGATACCCTCGCCAACAATCAGGAATCTGAAGGTCTCAGCGACTTGTCGACTTCATCTCCAGGCCCCAGTACCGTTTAAAGGGCCCAATCAACTCAGTTCCGCCCGATGATCTACTTTCACGCGCGGACCATCCAAAGATCCCATGCCGACTCGTTGGGCGCCTTGCATGGATGCAAGGACTTGACAGGAGCACCTATCCTCGGGACGATACAACGGGGCACGACAGCAACGTCGTCCACTTCGAGTGCTAAGGCATCTTGAGCGATGCACGACAACGGAAAGGGCCATGTTTTGAAGAGACAATCTGTCAGCAAGGCTTCGACAGCGGCAAATTGAATATGGCAAGCGGTTGACCATATTTCATTTCGGTTCTTACAGGTCTGGCATCGCCTGATGGGCTATGGACAGGCCGTCAATCTCAGGAGGCGGTAGCCATTACAGTCCGACCCGACGATCTCTTTAGGCCATCTGGAGACATGAGCAAGCACCACTTGTTAGGTACAGATGTTGAGACATCAGCCGTGGTACGGCCATGGCTGTCACCCGCGAACGCGGGCCCCAGCCCTGGCCCCGGTCGTGACCCCAGCGAAGCCAACGCTGAAATGTCAGGGATTGGCTCGGAGATGATTAGACCCTGGTCGAGAAGGAAAGACTGTGTCTCTTTTAGCGTTGGCGTGGCCCAGCGGGCTATCGAATGAGAGAGCTAAGACGAAGCAGTCGAGGGGAGCAAAAAAAAAAAGAAAAAAAAAAAAAAGCTGAAAGTATCCGACGGTGCCACTCCATCACCAGCTCCATGGGCCCAGCACCCTTTGCCTTGTTAGCGGTTGTCTACCGCAGCAGCCGGGTACTGGCAATCGAGGCATTCTTCAATGCGGAGTGCCTGGAACCGGGATAGAGACGGCTTGGGCTGCCGGACTGGTCGTCCTGTCTGTCAAAGTCTCGAAGTTCACTCGTGTTGTTTGAAGGTTAGCAGCACGAAAATGTTGGAGGTATGGATCTTGATGCGTCAGTTGCTCACCACTAATCAGCTGGGCAGAAATATGTGCGGAGAACCGTAGTACAATATCACCAACCCAAGAGGAGATGATGCGGCTTCGTCTCGTCAGGCGTCGTGCTATGATTACTGTGCAGGCCATCCATATGCGAGCGGGTTGGCCTTCTTGGTGGAACTCCCCAAGGATCAAAACCTCAAACTCGGTGCATCAGGAGGCCAACTTTTTTTTCCCCCTCTACGTCGAACCACTAGCAAGACTGGCATGAACAGCCTCAGAAGGTGACGGAGATTGGCTTGAGCCTTAGATTGTAACCAAGGTGAGCGACATGGAGGCTTGCCCAACAAGTTTACGCTGCAGATCATGACTCGGCCCATACTAGGAGACGACGACGACGGGGACGGGGACGGGCGTGACGGGCTCGACAATCCGGGCGCTCAGTGACGATGACGGATCCTTGCGTTCGAAACGACGTCTATTTGCAGAAGAGATATATACACCATGTGTGTGTCCGTGGTGGAAGCACGGCAAGCAAGCTTGCAAACAAAGTATCAAAGTCAACGGGCGACAGGTCGACCTGCAGGCGAAGTAGACTCGGCATGTCGATGCAAATGGCCACCCAGTGATCTCAGCCAGGGCAAATGGGAGGGGGTGTAAGTGGTAGGGGTAGGTGTGGGAGAGAAGTGACAGAAGGGGGGGGGTGGTTTGTACGGACGCAACGTCGATGAGGCAGGGCAGCGACATCGATGGGGATTTTGGATTCTCTATGCTTCTTACGGTAAGGCACGCAAGTTCCCCATCGACACACTAAATCGTCTAGTCGCATCCTTGCCGGTTGCCGCCGCCGCTAGCAAAGCCATCACCGCTACGACTACCGCTGCCGCTACATACCACTACCGCTAGCCATCGTCCAGTGCAACATTGCCTTCCATGTCAGGACTCAGGTCACTGGGCTCGTTTTCGCTGGGCCGGGGGACAGAGGACGCCCACACGCCCCTGATGACAACGCCCTCGACCCCTCCCCTGGACTCGTTGGCTCGTCTGGTCCTCGTCCACGCATGACGGACACAGTGGACAAGAGGGATGGATTCTGGATGAGCGGCTCTGTATCAGCGAGAGGCACATTCGCACTCACACTTACACACTCACTCATTCATACACGCACTAAGCAAACTAGCCGCCGTGGGGTGGTTACTCCCCCCACATCTTCGCCCATCCCGCCAGTACTCACACACTTCCAGGTTGCGTCGTTCCACGAGACATGGTTGACAAAACGCTGTTGCGTGGGTGCGACCGACACGCTCACACGCAGCGCACCCCTCTGGTCTTTGCTGCTGCCTCTCTTCTGCGTCCACCAAAGCCCCAGCCCGACCCTGCTCGCAGGCCAATGTCAGCTTTCGCCAGTCAGTACTGTGTACCATCCGCTTCACAGCTCTGCGACGGCTTGCCAAAGTAGCCTCAACTTACGCAGCACACTACTCTTCCCAGTAACCGTTGATTTCCGCTCCCTCGGTTTTGCTTTTTTTCCCCCTTCCCATGCTGGGTCCTCCTCGGCCTGTCCTAGCTTTCTGGTCTGCTGAAAGAGCAACACTGCCGCCTTTCCCAAGGCCCGTGGACGCCATCCCTTCGAATGTGCACGCCCCCATCTATCAATTCAAATGCCCCTCGGTCACTTTACGGCTACCCATTGAGAAGGACACGCGGAACTTTCATCCTTCTCCACGCACATTCAAACTCCCGAACAAGATGCATGGCATGGGCATCACGCTATTCGCCTGCCTGTCAAATCCTGCAGAAGCCTCTCACTCAACTTCACTTTGACGACGACCCGTCGTCGTTGGCTGAAAGTCATGTTTTCGACCCTGCAGAAACTCCTCTGCTCAATACAGACACGCCTCGTATCATCCACTCTCCAGGACACATCAAGCCCCCAATTCTGGTATGCCCCTCTTCAGATACCCAAACCCTTGCGGACGCAGGGCCGGAAACGATTCCCTGCAAGGCATTTACAGATATTGTGGATGGCCTATCATTTTGCCACCAGGCACCGCCCGTTCCTCTGACGTCCGACGTGAGGACGTACTTGCTGAGCACCGTCGTCACTATTCAATCGCTTGCACCAAGGGCCGCATCTCCATGCCACAGCTTCCGAGAAGCAACCACGCAACCCGTCAGCAAGCCGCCACATGCTTTCAATGCGATGTGCTGCCATAATTGGGACGCAGCTTTGTCTCCACACACTGCACGGTCTGCACTGTCTCTCACTTACCCACGGTACATGTCTAGTCAACTTGTCGCCCGATGCAGTAGCGTAGGGGCCTCGCCCACCACGACCTTCTCATACACTGTCACTCGTTTATCCCCTTTCATGAGACTCGTTGATCCGCTAGATCCATCGGCGGTGAGACGTCGGATACTTTGAAATCCAGCAAACATTGAGCAGCGCTGTTGGTACGCATCGCCCACCGCCGACGCCAACGCAAGATCAACTCGTACCACCAGAATATGCCTCCCTTCGGTCTCTTGTGTTCTGGACGGACCCTTCCTGTTACGGCATGAGCACAATAAGATTGCACACGAGCGACCCGGTGAACCAGAGCTGATACTTGCGACATGATGGATTTTGTCAGAAAGCGGAGGGTTGTAGTAACCCAAATGCAGCATCCAGGCCGCTGAAATCACATACGGGCTAACCTCCGCTGCATCAAGCCGCCAACATATCAATTTTTTTTTCGCCTGGAATCCACTTATGTACGACGCTCCAAGCCCGACTGGCCAGAAGAAATTGGTGGGAAGGGTTCATGGAGACCGACGATGAAAATGAGACTCAAGCCATGAGCCCCACCAAATCGACAAGACAACGCGATGCAGAAAAGAATCGATGGTCTCGTTCCTCAATCTCGAGTCACCGCAAATCCATGGGCCCAGAACACCTACAACCGCCCTGCAAATACCCCGGTATTCTTCTCATAGGCGGGCTGTCCAGATGCTCCCCGTCGACAGCTTACTTCGTTCGTCCGTCTCCGCTGAATCTGGCTCAGAGTCAGTCGTGACAGAGAGGGAATCATTTTGGATCCCCTTTCCACTGAAAACTCCGCCTCCGCCAGACTGTCTCCAGTGCGGAATTCAACTCATTCCATGCTTCGTATCCGTTCCTTCTCCAAGAACAGGAGATCTACGTCGCGCTTCCCTGCGGCTGTACCAAATGCAGGCGAAGTTTGCTGCAAAACAACAGGTTGAAGACGGGTTTCGTCATTGAGCTGGACGGTTCTTCCACCTGCGACCCATCGACTCCCTCACACATTTCTCGTCGATTCTCGCCATCCCTGGCTCTCAACTGGTTCATCGTTAACTTCTTCCTTCTGTTGCATCCAAGAAGCAGGCAGCTCCTGCCTAGCATCTGCAGGCCATCTGCAGCCTCGCCTGCACCGCGCCTGCGTGAGATGCGCCATCTGCACTGACGCGTGTTTGTGTAAATGCAGAGTAGCCCAATCTACTCACCTTCACTCCACAAGTGCAGCGGCGGCACGAAGAGGTTGAAGACAAAAGACACGGCAATCATGGACCAATTTTGCTACCTGTCAGGCGTCTCTGACAGCCGCAATGTTCACAACACATTATGCCATGAAGTCCGCCTCTAGCCCAACTTGCACCGTCGCAGAAATGCTTCTCTCTCGCTTGCCCGCCATCCACCTTCCATTGTTTACACCGCCTCTTGTTCCCCACACGGGTCCTCAAACCTTCACTTTCGCGGAACACGCATCAGGAGCGACCACCGACGATGGATGCCCACCGGACCGCAGGCTTCGGCTTGTTGCCATGTAGTTCTGCAGATGACCGAATCCTGACGACTGCGGGACACTTGGTCCACCCACCCGTTCCAACTCAACGGCCGAGGCGACCATCTACGGCATCGGGGGGCAGGATCCGGAGAAGCCGCGGCGGCGGCGACGAAGCTGGCTCATTGCCTGGCCTGATCCGATACGGACGACCCACCGCTAGCACGACTTTGCATATCGTCTCCCAGCCCACTGAACCCCTCGCGCTGGACTTTGAGAGTGGCCAGGTCGACCGCGAAGCCGAGCTTCTCTCCCAGCTCCCAACGCTCACGGCAAATGAGTCCGTAAAGCATGCCTGCAACGAACGTGTCTCCAGCACCTACCGAGCTGCAGGGTGTCAGTGTCGGTCAACATCTGCCTCGTAAGCGCAGCGAGAGATGAGCGGTCGAGAACGACTCGTTCGCTGGAGGGGTTAAGTCACTCACTCAGCCACATGCTGGACTGCGTGCTCGACCGGACGCTCGACGTAACGTTGATCTTGCAGCGATAGGCACGATGCCCCCTCGGCCCCCCATGTGATCATCGCCAGAGAGCTGTTTAGCGTACAATCAGCTAACGGTTCCTAAGCGGCGATTCGAAACCCACGCTCGCGGCTGGCTCTCCCCTCTCAAGCAAGCCTCGGCAGATGTGTAGCCGCAGTGCTGTTGTGTTGGTCAACTTCACGAACGCTTGGCTCTGTCTCTCCCCAAGCAGGATGCTCACCTCGGCCCAGCTCTTGGAGTAAAAGACGACGTCCGCTTCCGCGGCGAGTTCCCTGAGCCCAGGTCTCCCGGGCTTCTCGACCTCCACGCTTACCGTCGCACTCGCGCCCAGCACGCGTCTTAACGATCGGACACACTCGAGCGTCGTTTCCGGGATCCGCCCCTCAAAGTGCCACCACGTCTTCTCTCCACGGCCCCAGAACGCCTTTGCGACGACCAGGAACTCGGCGGCCGTCATCTCGGGGAGGTCATTGTGGTTTACGATTGTCCGGCTGCCCGTCGCCTCGCTGCGGAGGATGTAGCAGCTCGCCGGCACCTGGTGGCCCGCGCGGAAGAGGGAGTGGTCAAAGTTGACGGCTGACGAGGAGGGCGAGGGCTCCCGGCCTGGTGATGTTGACGTCGGCGTTAGTGAGGCGATGATGTTCGCTGTTGCCTGCGACTGGCGCTCCGGCAGGGGCGAGACGAGGTGCATCTGCAGCACCTCCTCCTGAGGTGAAGACTCGTCGCCGCCGCCGGGCAGGTTTCTGAGCAGCTGCTGCAGCACTTCAATCGTGTTGGGGCAATTGCCTCCTCGCCGGACGCGCAGGCTTGTCGCCCGTAATTTTGCGTCCTCTTCGGGGAAGCGCGGGATGCTGGGAACGGTTTGTCAGCGAGGTGTTCTACGTGCTCTGACGCGAAGGGTTTGTCTTGCGTGAGGATCGTGTCGACGTAGCACGCCCCGACGAGGATGAGGTGCTTCATTCTTGGTGTTGTGATGTCTAGATCGTCTCCGTGATTTGCGTGAACCCGACCGTGGCAATGACCTAGGTAAGCCCGCCACACTGCAAACCTGCGGTACTTTATTGTTGCCCGTCACTGCGTTTTAGAATCTGGCGCGGAGCTGCCTCATTATCTCGTATGTCACGATGTCGCAGACGGCTGCGGCGTGATTGGGGAAGACGGAGATAACGTCATGCTCCTGTTATCGCTACTTCGTCCAGAACTCGCGGACCATCGGCTGATCGTTTTGCCGCGACCACAAACACCACAAGGTGTCAAGGTGTACGTCGTGGAGCCTATTCGTGGCCAGAGAGTGACGACACTTGGACCTTTCCCTTCCTGTTCGCTGTGCCTGGCTTGGTTGGGCCAAGTGATGACTTGAATGTCGAGGCCCTCGGTGACAATTGGCAAGCGAATACAACTAACTGTTGACTATTGGAGAGCAGTGGTCTTGTTCATGAAACTTCATTCTAGACGATCCCGAGACCAAGACGATGAGACGGAGAAGCGAGTGCTGCTGTTTGAAGTTGTGCCCTCTCCGGTGTCGCTCTACTTCACGTCCGGATTGGCGGTATGCGGCTAGTAGCGAGGGATCTGATGCCAACTCTGATTCGCCATGTCCTCGTCCTCCATGGGCTGGTTCATCATCGTGAGGGTGGACTGGCCGTCGACTGTAATACCTCCTGTCCCACGCGAAAATAATCGGATGGGCTACTCGAACATGACACTTGCGCCATCGCTGTTATGCGAATCGGGAAATGCTTCACCAGTTAGCCATGATGTGTCTTTCTGTGTGGGCATCACAACGAAACGCAGTCAGCAGGCGTTGCTCTTGCTCTGGACATCGCCACAGTGCTACGCTCTGGGTCATCAATTACCTGATCCAAAGACCGTAGCCATCGTCCTACCGACACGACCGACCCTATCAGAATGAACATAGCGATCCTAGTTCCAGGTCGCTTCGTGCCTCGAGCAAAGTCCTCGGCATAGTCTGCATAGGGCAGCTTCATAGAGCCCCGAGATAAAACCGCCAACACGTTCAGCGAGGATGAGAGGGAGGCGTGTGACTTCGTTGCATCCGAGTGTCATACGACGGGGCTTCGGTGAAGGAGTTTCCAAAGGAGGCAAGAAAAAGCACCTTTGACTGGAAGTCGATTTGACATTCTTTGCTCTGTATTCTCATGAGATACTCGCGTTTGATCCTGCCAGAGGGTCTACTCTTCCTGTGAACTCGTGTATCCTCTGCCTTACTATCTTCGCTACTGTCGCCCTATCGTTGTTTTGACTTCTACTATAATCGTCTCTGCTACTATTATGATAATTATCGTCGTCAATTCTTGTCATTTCTACGACTTAGCTGTTGATATTAGTGTTGTCGTCGCCCTTGTCGTCGTAATACCTCCATGTCTTCCCTCAGCAACATTCAGACATCAGCCATAGCTTGAATGGCAGGCCTAATCTCCGACTGAAATCAGAGGAAACTTGCAAAGATGTTTCATATGTTCAGTGTATTATTGTATGAATTAATATTTATCGACCGCCATGGTATCCAATCCGTACCTCTATACTATGCCTTGACGCCATCGACTCATCATTTTCCCGTAAAATATCAAGACCTTCTCTTCATTTCTTGTACACAGACAAACGATTGCCACTGCCACAGTACTCAGTGCTGCTACCCGAGCAAAGCATATTGCATTCGCTGACAGGTGCCACAATGGATGTGTCGGGCAGGGCAGAGCCGCAATAGCACTCGCCGCTGTATTCTGTGCCAAAGTAGGCGAAGCCATCACAAAACGACGCGCACACCTCGTTGGTCATCTTGTCTGAAGCCGTCGCCTTCGCACTCAGGGCACGGCCACCTTGGGCTGGCTCAGTCCGACAGCCGAGGAAAGAGTAGACGCCGGCGGTGGCAGGTTGACTTGGGCCAGTAAACTTGTCGTTGTTGTTGGTGTAAAGGGTGAGTCTGTTGCCGGCGCCGCAGTATTCGTACTGGTTTCCGGTGCAAGTCATGCTGCAGTCCCTCAAAGGAGCTGATGAGCTGCTCGAAGCGAGGAAGTTGCCGCAATAACACTCGCCCCCATACTCCGTCCCGAAGTACTTGTAACCTGAACAGAAGGCGGCGCAGTTTTCGAGAGTCATGTTGTCGTGGGAGGCATAGCTGTTCTGGCTCAGCGCACGAACGCCATTTCCTTCTGTCCAGCAGCCCGTCAAATTGTAAGCGGCCACAGTCGCTTTGTGGGCAAGCGTAGGGACAGTGCTGGTCGCGCTTGAAGTTGTGGTAGAAGAAACAGGGCTCCTGGTCGAAGACAAACTGCTGCTCGGAATCGATGAACTGCTGGAGGCTGAGCTTGACACGGCCTGGGCTGATAAGGTTGAGGCGGAGGAGGAAGAAGTGGAGATACGAGTCGACGATGCGGCGCTACTTGTCGAGACCACGGTGCTGAAGGTGGACGATCCAGTGAACGGAGCACTGGAAGAGGAAGAAGATCCACTGGGACCGAGAGCACTAAAGGTGCTTGAGGGAGTGATGGAGCTCGAGGAGCTGCTGGAAGTACCCGAACTGCTGCTCGATGCGGTTGTCGTGGCCGAGGCAATCGAAGAATGGGAGGAAGACGAAGAGGTTCCAAGCTTGTACAACTCAAGACGGTTTCCGTCACCGCAATACTGATTTTGGTTCCCAGCACATTTCATGTTGCAATCGGTAATAGGAGCAGACTTGCTAGAATCCTGCAGGCTATTACCGCAATAGCCTGTATCTTGTTAGACGAGATGAACTGGAAGGGAGTTGACTGCTGCTTACATTCGCGACCGTACTCGGTTCCAAAGTATGTGTAGCCAGAGCAGTAGGTAGCACACTTCTCCAGGGTCATGTCGTCGGCTGCCGTCGAAGTTGCTTGGAGGGCGCGGCCATTGCTGGCCTCGGTCTGGCAACCAACCAAAGAGTACTGTCCAACGGCGGAAATATGGGCGAGAGTAGCAGTCGCAGACGCGGTCGAGCTGCTTGTACGGGTGGCGGTGGTCGAATACAGCTCGATTCTGTTGCCCGCGCCACAGTACTGAGTTGAGTCTCCAGAGCAGGGCATATTGCAGTCGACCAAGAGTGCAGAAGTACTAGTAGAGTCCAAGGAGTTGCCGCAGTAGCACTCCCGTCCGTACTCCGTTCCCCAGTAGTCGAATCCAGTGCAGTTGGCCATGCAGCTACTCAAAGTCATGCCGTCGTAAGCGAACGCCGCGCCCTTGAGAGCCCGCCCATTTGTTGCTTCGGTCCAGCAAGAAACGAACTTGTACCCGCCCATGGTGGCACGGTGGCTGGGGGCACTTGCAGTGCTTGTCGGAACAACAGATGAGACAGTGATACTGCTGCAAGAAGTACCTCCAGACCACCCCTGACAGGTTCCTCCTACGGTGTTGGCCTTCTTGAAAGAATCGACCATGTCTCCGCTGATTAAATCCATTGTTGACTCAACACTGACACCACCCGGTATGGTGGTCGTCACGGTGAAGAAAGTATAACCTCCTTGACAAGCTCCCTGAGTCATGGCCAGTGTTATGTTGCTCAGGAGTGGCACGACACTGGTGGTACGCTTTGTTTTGTACCAGACGTTGACGCTCACAGGCTGTGAGATGCGATCGTTACGGACGGCGGCAACGAAAGTGGCATTGCCGTTGGACTGGGTCAAACAGCTCTGATCAGTCTGAAGGAAAATGCCGTCCTGCATGGGATAACCGTTGCCATTGTTGTCGAAGAATTTGGTGGAACCATCGTTCATATTGATCGTTACCGTGAAAGATGAGATACCAGATGAGACCGGGATTCTGACTCCATTCTGTTGATTCTGCATAATTGTAAACCAGGCGAAGCTCTCTTCCAAGTTCGTGGAAGCACCAGAAACGGTAATGGTGAAGGCACAAGCTCCAGATCCACACACGGTACCGCCATTCCGATTCTTGTAGTTGATAGTGAGGCTGGCGATGTTCGAAAGGGGGAAGTTGGTCGTGCGGACACGGATAACACCCGTCAGTGACAGGGTTGATACGTCGGCGAGTGCAAGTTGCATTTGTACCGGCTTAACCTGGTAGGGCTGGATGGGGTCGCTCAGAGTCACGCCGGACGGCACGACATTGACCATTCTCTCAAAGATGGCTTTACAAACGTTGTTGAAGACGGTGGCGTCTGTCATCGCCTTTACGGTTGCGTTATTGTCGGCGTTAAAGACTCTGAAGTCGGAGTTCTTTCCCTTCTGGGTCCCGGGAACGTTGACCAGTGGGTTCTGAGTGGTACCGGCGAGATATTCGGTGATGACTTTGGGATCGAACGCGGCATCGGTGGTATCGAAGGTGGCAACTTCGTTTGCGAATTGGCCAGCAGGGACGATATCGGGATGGTCCGCCGAGTGAACACCGCCGATGGTGTGACCGCACGCGGTCATTTGTATCATATCTGCTGTAGAGAAACCCATGCGAACAAACCGGTTCAGGAACACTGGAGTCGAGTCTCCAGGTGTGGGAACGGCGCCAGAATCGTTCGGTCCTGTTGCATCGATCCGGCCGGCTCTTATGGCAACAGATGGGCCCTTGCAAGACAACACAGATGTGTAGACGCCAAGTGCGATGAGGTCTGACATACTGCTCTTGCGCGTCAAATAGGGAGCCATGAAGGTCATGGTGGTGCCGAAGCCTGGACCTGTGTTGTCGCTCGATCCCAGCTCATACTGCAAAGATGCATCCATGCCGCCAGTTCCCCTGTATACGTTTGCAGGAGCCATGTCGTGAAAGGCGGTCCTTAGCCACTCGGCGGCGTTTTTGCGACCTGCACCAGAGACCTCTCGCGTACAGGGGTTGACGGAATCGGCAAACTTTCGTGACCGAACACCGGTGGTTTGGTACATGATCTCCTCGAGCTCGTCGATGTCTGCAGGCCATGTTGGGTCGGCGGTGGTTCTGGCTGCAAGTCCCAGGAGGGCTAGCAGCAAGGATGTCGCCCCCTTCATGTTGTTGAAGATTACAGCACTACAGGCCGGGATCAAGAGAACGAGTGGTTATGATAAAGAGCGTAAGTGAGTGATTGTGTAAGCCACAAAAGCTCAGCTGAAATATTAATGCGAGATACTGAAAAACAAATGCACCTGAAAAGAGCGTAATGGGCGAGCCCGACACGGGAAGGAAGACGTGAAGTAGGAAAGGACGAGAGAAGGCCACTAGCCTTTTGATAAGAGAAACATCTGCTGAGATACGAATGGACTGAGAGGGAAGGGGAGGAGGTTCGGCGCTTCCGTGCCGTAGCAGAGTTGCGCCATCGCACAGCAGAACGCGTAAGGAGGCCGAGAGACGACGCACCAGCCGAATGGAATAGCGGCAAGATGGACGATCTGGGCATGCCATGCAAGTCTAGGCTGAGAAAGGGTGCAGCTATCGCCAAGGAGAGTAGCATCCTCCATCGTTCATTAGTGTCGAAGGACCCGACAGAGTGGCGGCAGCTTGGGTCCATGGTTCATGGGTGTTGTGATGATCGTGGTGTTGGTGTCTCTTCGTATTTTTGGCATGGACTTTGGCCAAGGATGCCAGGGCTTTTCTTTCTGCTTCCGGTAAGCGCCATCCTGATATTGGATTAAGGAAGGGACAAGAGGCAGCGCTATGCTGCTAATTGGCCGTTGGCAATTTGTGGCGTCTGACGGTGCTAGCAGCAGCGCGAGAACCGTCCAGGGGCAACGAGGTGAGCCCTTGCCCCTGACCAACGCTTATTTCCCCATACAGTAGCCTACCTGCTTGAAGAACACGCATTTGCTGGGACCAATGGTGTCTTGGGCAATGAATCGTAAGTTGCATCTTTGGACTGCCAACCTTCCGCCTGACGCTGCGGTGAGACAAGACCTTTTCAACTGTCCTTGAGCTTTTCCCCCGTCTTCAAATCGAGTTATCTCGGTGGTATATCCTCGATCAAGTAACCACACGGGAGGATGCGGTCTCTTTTCCTCATCTTGGCACCCCAATGCGGTTTACACCTACAGCACCGAACTATCGATGTCACGACAACGATGGCGCCCAGCTGAACCACCAGCTGCCGAGATACCGCATACGTCTTCTGGGATATTGCAGCTGCGTAATCCTCCCCACCCTCAAGGTAAGGCGTTGTCGTCGTCTCATCCTGCCCTGAAGTTGGCACCGGCAAACATTCAGGTAAAGGGCTTTGAAGTACACAGACAACTTTCGTTGCAGCTGTAGCATCGGCAACTACGGCATTCGACGATATTTCGAGCACGTCGCAGCTTTGCCCAGCATGCCGATCACGCAAAACGGAAGTCGGCTTTTAAGCATCATCCACAACCTTACTTTCGAGATCCAAGACCATGGAGCCAAAAGCACTAGTAAATCTACTTGTATCCCGCACAGCCAAACACAGTCAGAAAGGAGTGAGTTGGTCAACCTAAAGAGCATGTCGTCGAATACCTTCCTCATCAAGGCCTATCTGACCGTGGTATTGCATGCTCATTCTGCTGTTCACTCACCTCTCGCAGGACACATTGGTCAGGAAGGCTGTCACATCTGAGTCGGCTCGCCAAGACGCCCTTGCGCTGTCAGGTACGACGCGAGTCCTCCTCCACACTTGCAGACTCCACGATCCTGTCAGATCGAGAGAATCAGGCGAGTCACTCACCCAGGCTCCGAGAGTTCGCCATAGCTGTCATAGCGACAGAATGTGGCTGTTGCTAGCGGAAACGGGCTATCGATTTTGTCGGATTAAAGGGGGAGAACCCAGCCCTTTACCAGCTAGTGGCTCGAACGGCCTCGACGCCTTGGGCAAGCCAACGGTTCTACTCGGCAGCTTCTGCGCCAAGATACCGCGACTTTTCCTGTCCATGAGCAGTCCGAAATTCTTCAATAAGGGTAGCGCCCTGCAGGTTCGATGACTTTGGTGTAGGGCTGCTGTGTTACGCTTTGCGAGACAATTGCCCACGACACGGAGAGAGACTTGTGCTAGAATCTTGTTCCCGAAGTCCGGAAGAACCACGACGAGACCAAAGTAGGCCGGTTTTCGTTCCGATGTTCCACAATGGGCGCCTTACCGACGCATTGGATACGAAGCGCTTCCCACTGGTGGCGCTCATCAGTGCCACCTGGATGGTAAGAACGCAGCCTGAGGTCCTGTGAACTGCCGGAGGCGCTTGATATTTCAATGCGAGCTGGACAAGCAACGCTGAACCAAACGTATTCGGCGCCCCCAGCGGTACCGTTCGGCTTCTCCACGCATTGGACCGTAAGCGGGCCCTGCAGACTCCGCGTGCCGCAAGTCTCCGGCATCCCGATACGGGGATGGATTACGGGCCCCACTCCGAATCATGTCTCCCATCCCAAGCAATGGCTCCCTGGCCTGCGAACACCTAGCATCTCCCAGCCAAAGGCATGAACCCTCAGCAAGCGGGCAGAGTGGCCGATGAAAGCCGCACGTTATGCCACAATGATGCGCCCAAGGACTCGGAATTGTTCCGGTTCATGACGTTGCACCTGCGTTGTCTCGGTACTTTTGCTGGGTGGGTTGTATGAGACAAGCTACGACGGCCATTTGCAACGTATCCAGGCTTGGGTGTTGGGCGGCCTTGGAGCTTCGACTTGCGATTGCCGAATTGAAGGAGAGAGCCCCGCCTCCAAAAGCATGCCTCGGTTTCCGGCGTTGCATTAGGCTTTCGGTTTTTATTCAGTTGAATCGTCCGATCAACGACTTTTTCCAACAACCTACTGCAAGGACATGAGCTATCCCGATGCGAAGAAAGCCAGGAATGAGGGTGATGACGAAACATGTCCAGACCTAAAAGTTGGTTCGTCTGCATCTTGACGTCTAAGTCGGCAATTTGGACCGTCCGGCCTGACAGGCCGAACTGGGCAAAACTTGGCAGATCTCGTCGACGTTGTCCATTGGCCGCACCATCACTGCTGCTCGATGTTCTTTTCTCTCGCCCATTCTGACGCTACATCTGGAGGGCTAGCTTGTTTCCCATTTGCCTCGATCAAATGCAACATGTGGGCTCGCGGGAAAGGGCCAGACCGCTGCGAGCGAGTCAATCAGCCCCCTTCCGCACCTGGGGAAACCCTGAAAGATCCAGGGGAAACGGTTCAGCTGAGGAAAAGCGACATGGAAACAATTATCCACGCAAAGCGACTGACGGATGAAAAATGCCAGCTGAACAAGGAAAAAATCAATTATATCATCGACAGGACCGACCTTGCAGATGCGCGCTAGCCTGCCAATGATCGTCAGCAGCCGGGTCCTGGCCATCAAACCGAGACATGCTCGGCAACGCGTACACTGTCTCTTTTTCCAACGGCACCAGACCGGATACAGCGGGTCGCCCCAGTCTCAAGTTAGAAGAGGGAATTCAATGTGCAACAGGAGGTCGAAATGTGGGCAATTCCAGGATCTCTCTAACGCGATATTCTGAAAATCCTCATGTCAGACAAGTTGGGCTTGTCGTGACAGTTGTACGTGCTACATAAGGCTCTGGTAACTCTCAAGGTCTGCGTCTGGGCGCCACGCAGACTCAGGAACAAACGGATAAAACTCCTGTCAACTCTTGACCTTTGGCCGTTTGGAAGGTATCCCGGTTTCCTTCGTTTCCTTTTAGTCACGAACACCACCTTCAACGTCAACTTGGGAGGCCCCTGGGTTCTTCCCGTGCGTGCCGTAGAAAGCCCACCCAAGTGGATCCAGCAGCGATGGAACGACCCTGTCGCCGACCGATCCCGACCAACCGACTTCTCCAGGGAGTCCATCCGCCCCCGCAAAGCCACACTGCAGCACCTGGCACCGTGGCCGTGCCGGCTTGCGAGTGGAGAAGCCGTTCCCCATCCGGCCCAATCACGCCGCCGCCTGCCCCTCCAAGACGTCTGACATCATAGCAAGCCCCACCAAGGGGAGCAGTCCCCTCCATCATCAGCCACAACCTTCCTCGTCATCGCCCGCAAACAGCGCCCCGTACCAAGACCTGACGCCCATCTTCCGTCACTGCCATTTGTCCGTCCAAACTGGCAGCTGCAAGGAAAAGAATTAAGTCTACTTTGGGGCCTCCGTCCAGACTAAAATACCGAGCCAAGAAGGAAAGAGAAAACCCCGGTCAAGCTATTCCTTGCCACGATCGACGCAGTAGCGGGATCGGCAGGCCGCAGACCCATCTCACACCACTACCGGCAGCGCGAGGGCATTGCTTTTCAAAGTATTAAGGGTCTGCTCTCCTTCCCGGGCATTCACACACGCAACCTAGAAGGTTTCTTTTCCAACTCTTCAATCATCTCCACCAAATAGCTTGCCCAGTACATAAGGGTGAATCGAGCACAAATATCAATACGTCGACTCGTCTCACCCGATCAAACAACCCGCACCATTAAGAGACAACAAACATCATCATCAACATGGCATTCGCCCTGAAATTCCTGCAGTGGTTCGTCCGAGGCGTCCAGTTCGGCTCCGCGGCCCTCATCCTCGCAATCTACTCGTACTTCCTCGCGACGCTGCATAACCACAGCCTACCGATATCGAACAAGATCCGCGCCGTCGAGGGCATCTCCGGCTCTGCCACGCTGTACACCCTCATCGGCCTGCTCCTTCTCTGCTGTCTCGCCGGCCACGCCTTCACCTCCTTCGTGGCCATCGTCCTCGACGTCGCCTTCATCGCCGCCTTCATTTACGTTGCCGTCGCCAACAAGGACGGCGCCAATTCGTGCTCCGGCACCGTCAACACCCCCTTCGGCAACGGCCCCGCCGACGGCGAGCCCACGAACACCGGAAGCGATGGCTGGACTCACCTCCCCAGCCTGAGAACCGCCTGCAAGCTGCAGTCTGCTTGCTTGGCCGTCGCGATCGTCGCAATGTAAGTTCTCATCCTCGTCACGCCTGGAAAACCAAATTTTAACGTCTCCCAGCATCTTCTTTATCATCTCCATCCTCGTCGAGGTGGCCCTCGTGCGCCACAACCGCAAGGAGAGACGCTTCGGCCCTAGCCCCAAGAACAACTACACTTCGGGCTCCGGCGCCGGAGGTGGCTTCCTCAGTTCCTTCCGCCGTCGCGGACGCCAGAACACCGCCGCCAATGAGAACGCTCTCCCCGTCCACACAAGCCCCGACCAAGTCCGTAACAGCTACGCCACCGAGACTACTGCCGTTGCTCAGGACAGCGGATACCCCAAGTACGAGGGTGCCTATGGTAACACTGCGACCGCGACGAGTGGTGGCTACGACTATGGTCACGGTCACGAGAACGGTACCACCGCGCCTCCCGCGGGCTACCGTTATAACGACGGCACTTACGACAGAGTCTAAGTGATGGGTTGCACGATTCTCCATCTGGGATGTGAGAGATGGAATGTAATGATTGAAAACAATGGAATGAACTCGGTCAAGGATGGAATTATACCCTGGGATGGAGGAGTCTTGGCATACCGTCTCAAGTTCGACGAAAGCCTTTTTGCTAGATTTGTTATCAAGAATCAATTCACATGATTGAAACATGAATGGTTCAAGGTGAGCCTGAGCTTCGCATCTGAAGCATGTCATGTCTTCGTCGTAGTGGTATTTGCGTAAACTTCATAACCTCTGTGTTCAGCCGTAGCTGATCTAGGTGATGCAGTGGGCTAACCGAGTGGTCTAGCCGGTGCCTCATAACCCGAACCGTTGCTTAACTAGCCAATTGTCGTGAGCGACCGTCGTCAGTACCCTAAACCCGACACTTGATCAGGTGTTAGCATTCATTGTCAAAGCTGCAGGTTAGGGCAGTCATGGCCATCCAGCCGCCTCGTGCTCCCACTCACTGTTTACGCCCTCGTCACTGCCGACGTCCGCCCAGTTCATGTCTAGCTTCTCCAGCTCCCTCGTGAAAAAGTCCTGTTCCTCGCGAAGCGCAGCACGAAGCTCGACCGCGATCTTGTCCGGGTATCTGCGCACATTGAACCAATGCGTAAGACTACGCAGCGCCTGCTCCAACGGAAGTGCCGAATCAACCTCGGCGTCGACGTCGCTGCCGGCGAGCCACTCGTCCCGGAGCTCTGGTCGACAGTGCAGGTAGACTGCGGTGATGACTCGCATGTTGCTCTGCCGCCACTTACGGCCGCAGTATGGCACTTGGTTTTTGAATAGCTTCAAGGTGTAAAGTCGCAGCTCGGGTTGGGGAACCTTTAATGATTTGCGCAGGATGTTGGCCGACTTGTACTGTACCAAAAGAAGGTTCCTGTGAGCTTTGTGCTTGCAAATCTTTTGCATGATTCGCAAATAGTTGATGAGAGAGAAGAAGTTTCTTCTAGAAAAGTCGGTGATGGGTTCCGCTGGGAGATCATTTACGGGGTACCCGAGCTCATCCACTTCGGGTCGCACGGCAGCCTGGCCATCAGATTGGGAACCCTCGTCGCCTTGATGAGGTGCAGGCGCAGGCGGTCGAGGGGGCGACCGTCTTCTCTTAATAGGCGGCGGGGCCGCCTCGTCTTCGCTTTCCTCCTCTGGCTCAGGCTGAGCAGCCGGCTTGTCCTTATACTTCGAGCGCAGGTTGCAAAAGTGGAAGAAACTGCATGGTTAGCATAATAATATCAATCCGTGAAGGCATCCGTACCTATTCTCCAGCCGGTCGGTCTTACTATCGACGACTTGCTGTATGTCTTGGTGCGCGAACAGTTTCAGGACCAGCGGGAGGTAGTTCGAATCCAGCAGAAGTTGCGTCATGTACTCAAATTTGAGAACGTCTAGACGAAAGGTCAGTTTCTCTTCTCAGGCCTTGAAATTACTGCTTACGAGAAACTCTCAGCCATTTCAGCAACAGGAGCAGGATTCCTGTGATGGCCTTTGTTGTAATCTCCCGAGATCGAGAAGCGTCTACCTCCTCAGGAGACATCTCAGGAAGTTCAGGAGGGCCACCTGAAGCAGCAGAAGAAGGATCTTGGGGCTGCTGTGGCCGGTTAGGCCCCGGACCGCCATTGACCATGCCATTAGCGCCTCTGCCGGCCATACTCGGGTGTTGTTGCCCTGCGGCAGGCTGTGATAAAACGGCCGTAACATTCATAAGGATCGGCCTAAGGAGTACAATCACCAGCGACTGCAGATGCGGAAGGGATTCTTTCTGTAGAGCAGTCAGTGATACTGCGACGAGAACGAGGGGTTCGAACTCACATAGAAGCTGTCGACGGCAAGCAGACGTCGTTTGACTTCATCGCTGACCTGTCCTGATGGTCCACAGTCGATTTCGGGTTCTTGGATCGTGAAGCCCGCTTCTCTGCGTTCCTCCGCCTTCGTCTCTGCCTTCGTCGCAGCGATCTCTTGCTTCTCTTCGAGAGTCAAGCCCTCGAGGTCGAGATCCTCAACGTCGCTGTCATTGTCATCTGCTTCCCACCCTCGTTCAAACTTGAGGAAGCTCTCGCGCTCTTCCCAGAGCTGTCGTGTGGCACGCGTCATGCGAACTCGCTTGGAGAACAGCTCGCCAGCTTCTAGAATCGAGGCGGGAATATCGCTGCCCTCCCACTTACGCCCCACGAGTTGTTCTTGCAGACCAGCGCCACCTTTGCCACCAGCACTATTGCTTGTGGCATCCAGAGGCGGGTACATGAACGGGAAATTCTGGTTCGTCTGATAATTTTGCTTCTTACCGCCTTTACCTCCGACACCAGGTGATGGCGGCGGCGAGGGCGCAGGTGTCGCGATGTGTACGGGTTGATGCAGAATGGAGGCGCCGCTGCTTTGTGTATTCGTAGATCCGGGTACAATCCCAGTGGATGCGCTTGTCCTCGTGGGCTGATTTGGCAGAGGCGGGAGTAAGGTTGTGTTCTCCGGTTCCAGGGGAATGAGCGTCCGTGGTGGGACGTAGGCGGGATACTTGGACGTCAGCTCCTGTCGAAACACATGGTAGTCGAGGGGCGATGCGGTGATAATGTCCTTGGACTTTGCGTTGGGGGATTCGGTCGTCGCCTTTTTGGCCTCATCGATCTCCCGGGTGCCACCCAAGACCAAGAGAATGGACTTCCAGTAGAGCAAGAAAATCTAGGAAAATTAGACCATGCCTCAGTGGGGTGGGGGAGGCGTCCATACCTGACTGGAGGGCATCATATTTTGGTCGTCCCAACGAAGCTTGGATGTTGCTATAGACATGAAATCGACTAGTCCTGGCTTCAGGGAGACTTCCAAGGGTTAGCTATAAGATATGGCCAGGCCTGGTGAGATATGCTTACGAAGGTTGGTCCTGGTGGATTCCAGCTCCTTAGGAAAGCTCAGAGCTTCCTGAATAATGACATACATGATGGTCATCAGGTTGATGAGCTCGTCCTGAGCTTCTTGGGCACCCCCAGGCTGAACCAATCGTGGGTCATCGGACCTAGCGAGGTTAGGTAAATGTCGGGAGAATGGGTTATTTGGGCATACCAAAAGACGTCAAAGCAGTTTTGAACTGCCTCCCAAACGGTAGCAATGCCGTTTAGAGATGTGAGGAAAGTTATGCTCGATCTAATGGCCTCGAGTTGGGGTGAGCTCGCAGCAGACCTCCCATCGCCTACTGTAGCAGGCGTTGAAGTATCGCCCCATCTTCCCAGCACCAAATATAGAAGCTTTCCAATTGATGCTGATCGTTGGGCGGGTTCCCTAACCTGGAGACCCCCGAGGGCGTCCCGGGTAAACTTTGCCCTCGTTTCGTAGTCCGTCTCCTCCCAACTTGTCTGAATATCGTACTCGTGCTGCCACTGCCATTCGAACGCACGCTGCGCGGCGTTAAGGCGCACCCATTGCCAAAATTGATAGACGAACCACTCGTCAATTTCCTCGTCGTGGGATCCCATGTCGCTGTAGACGAAGTCATAGGCGACAGGTTCGCCCCGGCTGAACTCGGCTACTATGCGTCTCAGCTGCAGCAGAGAGAGCGAGTCGGTGGGTTGGGGTTGATCGGCGGGCGCAGGAGGCATCGGTGCAGGAGGAACCGGGGCGGGCACGGGGGCAGGCGTAGGCGCAGACGAGTTTCTCTGCAACATTGGCCTGGAGGGCGGTGGAGGAGGTGGATTCGCCGACTCGGCGATTGAGCCAACATCTGCAACAACAGCATCTGCAACATCGCCAGTCGGATTCGGAGGCGGAGGGGGCTGCTTCGCGGGGCCGGCGCCGTCGTTGGCGGCCCCGCGCGAGGACCAGAGTGAGTTCATCCTGACGGGAGCGAAGCTATTTCGAGAGGTGTATCATGCTCTAGCTGGAATACTAAAGATGAAGAGCTATGATGCGAATGGAGTTGGGTGGCGGTGGTTGTTAATCGATCAACATTTGGCCACAACGCGTCGGGAACGTAGTTGATCGCGTAAAAGGGTGGGAGCTCATGGTTGAGCTTGGAAAGGAGGTCGACAGCGACGTGGTAAAGAAGCAGCCTTGAGCGGGATGCAGTTTGCGCTGCAGCTTGTGATTGGCTGTGGCGCAAATCCCTGAGGTGGTTTGGCGGGGTGTGTGTGGCTGGAACAGCAATTGGGTCCCCGTCAGCCTTTCATCGTGGATCAACAGCGCTGTGAGTCCCCTAGAACGGAGAAGCTTGGGCCACGCGCATGTCTTATCTGGGCTGTTATCGAGGGGACTTTAGGTCATCAGTTCAACCCCTCTCTCGTGCTGTCTACCCACATCTACACCAAACTTTCAGAGGTGGCTGGCATTTTGCGGGTGCATTTGAAGTCAGCGGTTGTTCTTTTCTCAAATCACCTTGGGCGTAATGCGGCTAGAGACGGGCAATAGGGATAGGCTTTTCCTGCCTTCCTGCCATACCACAATGGCTGAAAGGGAATTGTGCGGCTCGAAATCTAAGTTACACTGCTCGAGATCGTGGAGTGATCATCTCATGTTTGGAACTGCGCAAGAGCATCACCCGATGTTGACTTGCGCCGATCCAACGATTAGCTCGTGTTAAGGACCAGATAGTGAGCTTTGGACAAGATATTTCGCGTCATGCGGACATCCGCCGAGCCAATGCAACCAACGCAGGGCGGCTTCTTGCCTGGGCTGCTTGCTCATCACAAGCCACGAGGTGCGTCCCTACATGCTCTGAGGTAGGTTCAGCTCCTATTGCCTAAAGAGACAGAGCAGCGCGAAGATGCCATTGTCTTCCATACCTTACCTTGGGAACCGAAGGCCCACACCCGCGGATGGAAGGTTCTGTGGCCCTTCGGTGAATGAGTCCGTCCTGCATTGAGTTGCATCCAGTGTCCCGAGTTGCTTCGGCGCTCCACGCACTTGCAGCTGGCCGCTGGCGAACAGCGCAGCTGCACGACGTCAGCGCAGGGCAAGCCACGCCCGGTGAATGGACCACTGACCACTAACCAACC